TAGCTATCCTTACAGAAAACATACTTCAATTTTATTACCTCAAAAAAATGCTTACCTGGTGGAGGCCCATGAAATTTTCTTTGCCCATTTTCTTGAATCATGTTGTATCCAGTCTTGTCTAGTAGGGCCAGTAAGGCAGCAGCCTGATTACCACCTCTCATTTTGCCAGATTCACTTGTTGCAGCTGAACTCTCCTCATTCATGTCTGCAATAGCTTCAATAGAACATTATGGATATTTCAACTCAGATACTTAAAAGCTGCTGTTTACATACAGAAGCCACAGGGGCACAGAAACACGCACCATAGTTGGCTATTTCCTGTGACTTCAATGAGCAGCATAAAGCTGCAATCCTATGTGCAACTGGTATCATCTATGTACTTGATTTCAAAACATAGTAGTGAACTTTAACCAGCAACTATATATTCCATACTAAAGTTTTAATTTTATACAAGTCACATCACAGCTATTTTATAAATATGCTGTCTCTTCAAGTACAGTAGTGGATTACTTCATAAAGCTTGTCTCAGTTGTAAATGACCTAAATGCCATCTGCAGTGACAAAATCCACTCCCTTGTCACTATATTTTACAGAAGCACCAGTGATTTTAAAACTGGGTATAAGTCCAAAGAAAACTTCCGAAATGCATTATTAATTTAAAGAATTTAATTAATTGATTAATTTAAAGAATTCAAAGAACTTAGTGACAAAAATAATTTACATGAAATCAGTATTTAATAAAACTTGGTGGAACTGTCTGTCAAAACTAAGGGACTGGGATTATTCCACTTCTGAGTTCCTCATTTTCATGCTCTTATCCACTTTCGTGATGTTGGACTCGATGATCTCTGGAGGCCCCTTCCAACCCCTACGATTCTGTGATTCTGTGAAAGCTAAGGAGCTTTACCAATAGAGTTGTGACTACTATGTCCACTATTTGATGGCATGTGAAGATCTCCTTTGGTTACTGTCATCTAGGTCACAGGGAACAAATCAGACCGAGAAGCCTATACAGTAATTTACGAACTTCTCTAGTCAATTAAAAAAAAATAACTTTAAAGTCAGATTCCTTTTCAAGGCCTTTCTTTCTCTCCTTGCCCTGTTTTCTATTCCCAAATTTTCTGCCTTGAGGTCTGCAAGACTTAGACAGGCAATCTTCAACACTTCAATCCCTTGCCCAAGCAGCACATCCAAGCATATGCTCTTTATTCTCCAAAAAAATAATTTTTAAAAAAAACAAAACAAAACATGAGACACCTACATAGACATAATCTATAACTCCTTTTTTTTTTTTTTTTTATAACATCGCTTATATTTAAACTTGCTTTATCAACAATAAGTTGAATTTTGCTTCACTAAGCAAAATCCTGAGGAACTCCCCGCCTCCCTGGCAGTTACAATCCCATCCACTTTCTTCAGCATGAAGCACAGCCGCTTGCTCCTCTTCAGCTTGCTGCTCTTTCTGCCCCTCACTGAGCCTTTCCTTCTGGCCCCATCGCACAAATACACACCGCTCTCTACACAGCCTACTTCACACCCGCCTTCCCAGCGCTGCCGGCCCCAAGCATCGCCACAACAACGCCGCACACCGCACACAACGTCGTCCCCCGCCTTCCGGCCTCCCGCTGAAGCCAGCACCCAGCCCCGCGGTATTTAGAAGCCCTACATCTCCCTCTGAAACCCTCCCGCGCCTCAGGCTACAGTCAGCCTTTAGAAATCGGCAAGAGGTTTTCACAAGACTCTACGCTATAATTACTTCTTTTTTTCTTCTTTTTCCCTCACCCCACCGCTCGGCGCAGCACGGCGCCGCCCGGCCCGAGCCCGCGGCCTAGCGGAGCTGGGCGGCAGGTGTAACTGCCGGGAGGCAGGAGCCAATCAGCGCCAGGCTCACAGCGGGGCACGGCGGGCGAGCGCTTTTAAAACGGGCGGGCGTTGGCTGAGGGAGGGCTGTCAGCGCGCGGCTGCCCCTGCAGCTGCCTCTGTGGCTCGGCCTGAGGCAGCGGAGGGGCTGCCGCCGTCAGAGGTTCCGCCTGTCTTCCACACGCTGCCATCCCAGCTCCTGAGCTGCCATCCAAGTGCCTTGGGGTCTGAGCAAATGGAAGACGCTCACAGCCAAAATGCACTCATCGAAGACTTCTCGTCATGTACATCTTCCTTAAGCTGTAAAGGCAGAAGTGTTCTTCGTCAGCTAGAGAATCCCGAAAAACTACAAATATGCTCCTGAGCTTTTAGACGTGTATTTTTAAAGATGTGCCACCAGAAATCTGTATTTCAGCACAGCGTGTCAGATACTCGCTATTTCAGCTTGCGTGGTTTTTATTTTCAAAGAGGAAGCTTTACTGTCTTTTTTAATCGATAGTGGCTTGACACACTAATTGTTTCACAAATGATGTCTCGAGGTAATAGTGTGAATGGCCAGAATTGCTATTACCTTCAAGATTAAGTGCCACCTCTTTTCCTTTCAAGTTATCTGATGGTTTATTGTTGTTTTTTACGGTTTCTAATTCAGCTGTGAAATCTCTAATAGGAATGAGTTTTGGGAGTGCCTTACAGTAAATAAAGTTTTGGGTATTTGGCTGCAGCTCGGTGTCCTTGTTGCCTTGGAGCCTGCTCGCTTTCTAGTAGAAAACCCTATGTGCTCAGTTGCTACTGCTTGTGGAGAGTGCTGACAGAATGCAGACAGCAGCCTCTAATGAAAAACCTCTCACTCGTTTTCTCTGTGTTTCACCTATGTGACATCGTATGGGCAGATTACTGCTGGCTCTTGAACAGCTACCCAGCTGGAAATTTTAACTCATTGCAGTAATTACTGTCAGCAGCTTTCAAGGAAACACACAACTTTGCTGTCAGGTTTTTCTCTTTATGACGTGACAGAAATAAAATATCCAAAACGAGGTTTGCTTTGTTATTTCTTGTTAAACATCAAAGTCAGGCATAGGAACTAAAGATTCACTAAATTTTCTTGCTGACCACTACCCCTATTTGAAAGAAATTAAGATCCACAGGTGCTCATTGGGTAGTACAGCTCTCATTTTCCTCTTCCCCACAGGTGTTTGCTGTTTGTTTATTTCTCTCTGACAATTGTTTGGTGTATTTTTTACTGAGAACAACTGTTTCTAACCTGTATTTGTTTCAGATTTTGCCACAGATTATCAAATGTGATAAAGTTTGAGCTGAATGTTTTCATGTGCTTTTTGTTGTTGTGTTTTTTTTTTCCCCAATAATAAGGCAACATTTACAGGGAATGCAGTATTCAGCAGTGTACCTCATAGCCTCAGGTCTTCCAAACAGAGATTGCACCCGTGAAAGCATCTCATGACTAAAACAAAGCCATTTATTGAACCCAGACTGCATTCTCTGAAACACTGCTTTGCCTGTAGTGGAAGCAGAAGAATCCTCACCAAACCAACCCCTCAGTCAATCATCTAAAAGTTAGTTAATTTTAATTATTTATGCAACATGCAGTTGTGTTAAGTAAGTTGGAATAGTTGGAGGGGACAAGGCTTCTCTATTCCTCCTCCACACAGGCGCTTCCTGCAGCAGATTCTACCTTGTTTTTAGGTCTTCCCCTTTCTCTCACGTACGACTGGACTGCATTGTGCATTCAGAGACGCAGCTCATATATCATTTGGAAAGCTGTGATAGAAGAAGGCTGATTAACATGCTAATACCCATTTCTAGCAGTGACAGCTGCTCCCAACAAAGTGTTATTTCTCTCAGTTATAACAACGCTTTCCCTCCATAGAGAAATGCCACTCATCTAAATTAATGTCAAGTTTTGATTCACTTTTTTTTTTTTTTAATGAAGATGTAGTAAAGCATAGCAAAAAGGGACCAGGTTCAGAAGAATGTTATTTATCAGAGTACGTATTGCTTTACTGCTTCATTTAATTGGTACCTTACTACATACCTTTTTAACTTATGAACCTGATAAAGGCTAGTTCTCTGGTGGGTTATTTTACAAGAGTTCTAAGTATTTGGCATAAATTCTAGTTAGAAAAATACTTACTTACAATTGCAAACAATATGCTGTCTACTCTGAAGCTTTATCAAATTCCACTTAGTGTCAAGGAGACGCTGTGTTAGTTTCCTCATGAATGTCTTTGAAACTGTCACAAGTCTGATGGATGAGGAACGAAGGCAGTCCTGCCAAGTTTGTGCTGTTTATTTCTCTGGCTAAATTTGAAAATGTGAAAGAGGCCTTTTTCTTGCATATTTTACAGCACTGCATCAGACAGTTGCTTTTCTTTTCCTCATAGGTTATTTTCGGTAGCGGTAACACTGAAGTCCATTATGTTTTTTAACTTGTTTCATGGGAATGCTAGCAAGTCCCAGCATATATTCCTGGAGCGGACTACTACTGCAGTTGTAATGTCTTAGCAGAGGCATATGCCTTTTTTTGTCAAAGTAAATTTTGCTGTGGGCTGGAACAGGAAGAGGGCATGTAGTATTTCTGCACTCTGACAGGTTTGATATGTAGATAGTGGAACTGTTTAAAAGGAAACAGACATCCTTTGAAGTTTAGACAGAGGTCTCCGTAGAAAACATAGAGATAATATGATTGTAAATCTAATTATAGAAAGCTGCCTAGAAGGAATTTCAATCAGTTGGTCCATTTTCTTTCCAGTGCCATTTGATCAAATAGCCACACTGCCTGCTTAGAAGGATCTTCCTAATAAGGCATCCCCATGCCTGAAGAGTCTGCTATCTTGAAAGGTACCGTTTGCACTTGCTCAGCTTTCTGCCACAGAAATTGCTGGAAGAAAAGATACATTGGTGGTTTTAGAGCATTCCTTATTATTTTTATTTTTGAGTACTTTTTATCAATTTTTTTTTTTAATAAAAATTGATCCCAAAGCATGTTCTGCTTCCCAGACAAACATAGCAACAGTCTTACTGAAGTTAGTTGAACTAAATCAATTTTAAGCCGGTTTTGCTGAGTGCAGTGATGTGAAATGTGTATAACAAAGTGTATCAAATCTCTTCATTTGTTGTGGCTTTTTTTTCCCCCCCTCTCATGACCTCCAGAACTTTCTGCCCCTCAGTGCAACAAAGGCACACCTTTAAGAAAGTCACAAAAATGGGCCGGTTTTGCTAATGCAAGGGATCCATGAAGGAGCAGCATGGCACCGTGGCAAAAAGTGACACTGCAGAGGGTTGGTGGACAAAGGGGTGAATATCAGAAATAGAAGGCATTTGGGGAAGGACCGCTGGGCATGGAGAATCATTTCCTTTAGTATTGAGGCCTGCTGTTTCTATACAGCTGCACAGTTCTTGTCATCTCTTGTTAGGTAAACGTTTTAAGCAAATCCTGAAGTGGCAGCACATCCTCTGCATATCCATAACAGCAACAATTAAAGAGGCTTGGCTGTTTCAGCAGTTACAAAACACTGCCCTAACAGGCTTGAGACCGACTTCTTCCTTCTGCAACATGAAGCACAAGAAGCACAGAGCAGGCCTCCTGTTGTCACACAGTAGGTCTCCCAGTGCTCACCGGAAGACCTGGAAAGATCAGAGATGGTTCCTCTCTGTCACCGCTCAGTTTTTAATTTAATTGCATATGTTGACAGAAAATACTGGAATTTAGGGTGGTTTTCTGTGAAAGTTTATAACCTGGCTCCAGTGTTGGAACAAAGCACACATCAAGTGATAAAATCTTCGACCACTTCTGATCTGACCTAGTGACTAACTGGAGGTTTACTTGGAAGGCTGAGGGTTTTTATATCGCGTTACCTTTTGAATATTTAATCATTCAGGAAATAAATCATATTGAATGCAACAGGAGAGAACAAGATTCAGTTTTTACTTTGTAATTGTTTTCACTGTAGTTTAAAAAGTGGAAAGGCTGTCAACAGTTTCCTTCAGCCATTTATTCTCGGCTTAAAATCCCAGTTTATTCCGAGGAGCCTAAAAGGCATTGATTTATCAAGCTCATATCCTTTTAATTCATAATCCAGCTGCTGTGAGCTGCTAACAGGCTTTTGAGTCAGGAAGCTCAGGAAATCATCAATGCCAATTACAGCTAAACAACTTACGATTTTCTTTATATTTTTCCAGAGGCTTTAAGGATATGGTGCTATGTTTAGAGATGTAATTAAAACTGAAACAATGTAACCTGCATTTTTAGTGCTTCTTTCATTGAGATATGCATATATTATTCTACTTTCATATGTTATATATGCATAGAATGCTATGGCTTACATTATAATAGACTTCTTTTTTTTTTCTTTTAAATGCCTGCCTAGATTGGAAGCTTTTTCTTGCATATCCACTAGATGGGAGCTCTTGATCTTATAGCAAACCCTGCTCTTAAGTGGAGGTCTGCAGCTCCTCTTTCCCAGCATTGTCCAGTTCTGGGCTGGTGCAGGATTTCTTGCTGCTTGCATCCATGGCAGGCACTGTGAAGAAGCCACTGTAGGAAGGATACAACCCAGCAAGGGTGGGCATATTGCAGCACAACACTATGGGACTAAGAGGTGTAATACATAATAACATTTTGAAGACAGCCATGGTACAGAGATAGTGGTGCCAAATGAACCATTTTCAGAATTCCAGTGCAGACCTGTGGAAAGCAGTAAATTTCAGTTCCACACCAGGAACATCTGAGACTTTTAAGACCAAGTGGAGCAAAGCCACGTGAAATGACTCTTCATTGTTCCCCTAATGCAATCACCAGGCAGCCAATTTAAAATAGAGTGCCATTTCATATGACACCTAACTTTGTCTCAGAAGCTTTCAAAGGCTGGACAGATTTAAAAGAAAAGAACAAGAGAAATTTGTTTGTGTAGGGTAAATTCATTGGTGAACATTTTACTCAGTATCATGAATGCAAGCCTCAAAACAGGAAGATGATGAATTGCCGCTTATGGAAATTTTGGAGACTATAGCTGGACTCTGTGCTCTAAACACTCACTGCTTATTGGCAGAGAATGATTCAGGGCTAAAGTGACCTTTGGATATTGCCAAATTCATTCCTGTGTTCCCATACTTTAACAAAAAAATTGCCCCTTGACTACAAGCTCAAGACTCTCAAAGGCAGTTAAGTTGTTAACAGTGTCTGGTTGTAAAGGACACACTTCTGCAGTTCTGGATGGGGAGTCCAAGTTTCCTAAAAAATACAGGGAGTAGCCAAGTTCACAAGAAAAGACCTTCAGAAGCCAGCTGAAAGATGCATTGCCTAAACTAGGAAAAAGCTAGGAAAGAGCACAAATGGCTGCACAGAAGCGATTATCCATAAGCATCTGTCTGAATAGAACTGCAAAATGACCTAAAATGACAGAATTCAGTGGAAGCTCCTTAGTGACCAGGAAGTGCATTTACAAACACTATAATTATGTTTATGAAGCACAAGATATTGGGGAGATCAGGGAGTGGAAGGGAGCATTTCCAATTTAGTCTTGCAAGGTCAGTAATAAAGCTCCTATTGAATTCAGCTGGAAGAGACAATCGAACAACGGTGCTGTAACAAAGAAGCCTGCAGTACTGCATGCCTGATGGTAGAGCAGGTGAGTTACTGAGGATCTCTCCCACCAGGATAATTTTCAATATGCAGTGCAAGTGAAACTTCTTGCTAATTTTTTGTTAGGATGAAATGCTGTTTGTATAAACAGATGCCTCACACTCATTCAGCATTCTCTTCCTGCTCAACTACACAACGAGCTCTAAACTGGTACCGCAGATTCAGTATCTTTCCCATAAGAACAGACTGTTGCTGCGAGCACAGATTTGTTTTTAATTGCAGGACTGAACAGTCTGTGAAAGAGATGTTAACACAAACATTCCCTAAACTGAAAATGCAAACTATAAAGTTACCAAAGGAAAGTAATTTCTCTGACTGGTTTGCATAGTAATTTTCAGCTTGCTAGTATTAAAAAAACAAAAACACTTCTTTACAAGTCATGAAACCCTGATTATAATTTTGAAGCACATTTCATGACTATGTATCAGATCTACTGCCTGGATAACTTTCAGTGCCTTAATAATATGAGTTACTGGAATTGCTCAGACACCTGAAATAGAAATGCTCCATTCCTGACTGGAATTTCAGTTTGTTGGCCAAGCAGAATTACTGCTTTCTCCAGGAAAGTTTTTGAAGGACATTCCCAGGCTAACCCTGGTCTGTCAAGTGATCCAGTTATACAAATACGATTTAAAATGACAATGGAATAGCTCTTACAGCGTGACTGAAGCAGTCTGCTTGTTGTCTGCAGTTTGGAGCAATACCTAAAGGAAAATACAAAGTCACCTTTTCCATACAATCATCAATGCTAAATAGCTGACAAAGAGATGTTACTTTGCCTCTGACTGTCCAGCTCACATCTTAATCTGTCAGACATTCAGATTTCCAGAGGAGCTGAGTTTTGTGCACGTCCCAAGCTCTGTAAAAGACAAAAGAACAGAACACAGCAAAGTGACAGAAGGCATCGCAGGCGACATCTCCAGAAATACTTTAGGTATTGCAGCCTTACTCATTGTAATGGCAGCAGGACCAACACAGTGAGATGTTACAGAAAGAATGCTCCCCCACCTCCAAAGATCTAGACTCACAGAAGGACTCCACAAAGGAAGGATCTACAGCAAGAGAGATTACAGTGGCAGTTAGCTCTTAAATGAGGTCTTCACAGCTGAACTGCCTTCACCTGAGCTCCCAGGGCTGACCCAGTCCTTTCCCAGGTGATCAATCAGTGCTTCAGGCTGCGCCTCAGCAGTTCCCATACACTGCACCCTTCACAGCATGGACCAATGATTGAGCCAGCTGGAGGGTGAGCCTTCCCTAATACAGGGATCCAACACACCCTAACACACAATTGCCATTGTGACTTCCAAAGGCTCACAGAGAGTAGTACAGATGTTTCAGAGGTACCAGGAGGGGAAGGTCTGCCCTCCAGGGCAAAATACAGGCTGTATTCCTATCCTGGGTCAACACTTCAGCTTACACTGGGGATGTCCCAGCCACCTGTATCACAACCTTTGGCCAGATATCTGTGGCTCATAACTGTATCAGGCACCAAAGGGGGTCCTGATTTGCCACAGGGACATGAGGAGGGGCCCTTAGCAATGAAGACCAGGGTGTTGACCACAATGACTGCAGGCCATGTACCGATTACTGGAGGGACTACTGAACCCCCCATCTCCAATAGTCTCCCCCAAGGTGCAAGCATGCCACACTACTTTGGTCCTACTTGCACCTTCCGGGTTCAGGCTGTGACTCAGCAGTTCCCATTCACTCACCTTCCAGTCTGGGGTGATTTTCAGCCCTGACTGATGCCTTTGGGCCTCCCTTACAAAATGTAGGAGGAGTTACGTACCTCAGGAAGGATTTCTTTGAAACCAGCTAAGCTGCAACCTGGTGAAAGTAACCCATGAATAAAATGAGGCTCCGGGGGGAACTGAAACAGTCTGTGGCACATCTCCATGAATCAAAGCCTGAGCTTCTGCTTCAGGCAAGTGGGTATGAATACAAAACAGGATCAAGAGATGGTATTCACTCATGTCCCACAAGCTGCAGAGCCATGATAGCATGATGCTGAACCAAACAGCCTTCTTCTACTTTGGCTACATGCAGTTCTGTTTTCCACAGCTGTGCTGTTTCAGGTTCTGCAGGCTACCAAGTTGTCACTGGATCCAGGTTACTTAGTCTGTGCATTACCCCCCTGTTTAGACAGACTGTGAATGAGTGTGGTTGAAGCCGGGGGCCTCCCTCCCCCTGAAGATACGCTTGGAGCTAAGTACAATCTCGTACAAAACCAGAGACAGCAAAAGTTACTGTGGTTGATCTCTAATCCCCATCTTTCAGGCAGGGATACAGGAGACCTCTCATTATCGTCACACCTGCGTTTCTTCACTTGAGAGCAGAAGTAATTAATAACTTTCTTCCTACCATGCGACAATGGCAGACCCACCCTTCTCTGTGCTGCTGTGCAATGCTCAGTGGAAACGTACAGGTACAAGACTGCAGGGAACATAGGTGCGAGTCTGAGTCAGGTCTAAGACTATGCAGAGCATTAGGAAGCTTGACAAGTTTAGCAGAGCTAACCCTTAATTTGCTTGTAATTCTTAATTATATGAAGCAGTGTATCTTAGCCTCACAGAAAACTCAGGTTTCACAGGGAATGAAGTTGCCTTCTGGTAAGGAACTGTGCATCTCATTTATCTGCTATGTTCTATGTAAGAAACACACGATCTTATGCAAGTTAACCAAGTCTTGCAGTAGGCAAGAAGACAGGAAGACGTTTATTCTCCCAGGTGCAGACACAGGAAAGATTTTTGTGGAAAAAAAAGCTAAGGGAGAATTAGAAGAAGAAACTAAAGGCAATAGTTAGGTACAGCAGGTAGCTGAATACAAAAGGAATGCTACACCAAAGTGGCCAACATTTGTTCTTACCTGAAGGCGTCTTCCTTCTTTCTACCTGAAAGTTTCCTGAATGGCTGCAATTGTTGAAGTCAGGAACATCCCAATCTTAGTCTTTCTAATTCCTGATCAAGCCTTGGGATGTGCTTCCCACTCTCAGCCTCACTAGCATCCACGGACCACGAGAAGAACAGCTTTCTCAGCAGTGCTAAAATACACAGGGTCCCAACACAACCTGATGCAGCTCACAGTGGATTGAGGGAGCCATTTCCTTCTTTGAACTTGGAGCCAGAGGTGCTGCCCAACTTGATAAAAACAACTCAATCTTCAACTGTCCCAGTTATGAGATAAATTAGAAAAGGGTGAAGGGTGGCCACCTCTCAGCCATGTCCAGAGTCTGGTGAGTCTGCTGGAGGCAGTCTGAGAAGGTGCTGGGAAAAGCGCCCCCCCCCCCTCCAGAAAAGCTGCAGCTATCACATTTTGGCAAACCTTATAATGTATTGCTGTTTCCACTCCAGCACTGCTCAGTCAGGAAGGAACCTAAGAGTTTGTGTAACAAATGGGCAAAGACACCTATACCTTAAAACTCTGTATGGGCTAAATCAATGAAAGAAAGTCACAGAATACATTTGCCTATGGGATACAAAAAAATAAAATTAATAATAATAATAGTAGTAAAGCTATTTACTCCTCACCTCACAAAAAGTTTTCCACCTTGTGAGACAGAAGCAAAACATAAATCAGTTTTGCCACAGAGAACTGCTGTATTCCAATCAGTCTAACTATGATTTAAGAATCGTAAGGATTGCCCCACGCTTTCCCACAGTCTCTGTGTTCTCAGGTTCATACCCTAAGTGCTCCTGTGACTTCAGAAGTGAAGCTATGCCACAATATACAACAGAGAACTGAGTGTTAAGAAAATTTTCCAAAAACCAGCCCTCAACTACTTTGTAGTCCTACAGTAGAGGACACGTTCTGCTTTATAAGCACAGAATCCTGAAAGATTTCCATGAGGCTTACAGGAAAGAGCAATACACTGCAGTAAAGGGCCTCCAACCAGCAAGCTGTAGCATCTTCATTTCAGAGCAGTCAGCCCATTCAGGACAATTGTGCTTCCAGGGATCAAGCTATTATTTCAAAGCCAGGGTCAATGGCTCCAAGAGTCGCCCCACAACTTTTTTCATTTCAATGGAAAAAGGTGATGGTAATTAATGAGTGTCTAACGCAGTTCTGTATCATTCAGTGGCACGTGACTTTAATATGAGAACACGCAGCAAGAAATACAGCACCATATCACTTGTAGAGATCACAGTACCAGTGTTTCTTGTAGCTGCAGCTTGCTTTCTAAAGCCTGTCTGGATGACATCAAGTCACACACAAGTTTAATTCCCTCTTCCCCAGCCCCTCAGACTTTAACAAGTAATGCTGACTTTGTTTTCATTAAAAGCCTCAGTGGTGTACATAGCGTTTGCCTTCAGCACAGGAGGACCCAAAGGTGAAATCAAGCAACAGATGACTACTCACCCACAGAATGAGTAATCAGTTATGTTCCAAGCTAAAATAAATACAGACAGAAAACTCAGTGTTCTAATGCCTTCATTTACAAACCTTTTTCCTTGCTTTAAACACGGCTTTTGTAAAAACATCTTGAGCCTCGTGAATGCTCATTTAATTTTTGTTTTCCTTGGAAAGGCCAAAGTGAAACATCTCTCCTTCTCACTTGATGTCCTCACTACGTGCATTTCCCAGCGGCGCAGGGCAGTGGTTACACTCCTCCATTACACATTCACATTTAACCACACAGTTTCCCAGAACAGCCCCACCACTAAAATGACCTGCAGCTCTAAATTTACGCTCCTTGTCACCACCACTTAACAGCCATCAGTGAACAACGTCACTTCTAAACGCACTACCCAACAGACGAACTGCTCTGCAGCATTCAGTGTTTTTCTTTTATAGCCAGCTCCTTCATTTCAGCAGCGCTGTGGCTGAGCTCAAGGCTGAAACGCAAGGCTTAACCTAGGGCAAGTGCTTATTTTTACTTGAGTCATTACAGAAAAAAGTTTACGTTGACATTTAACAAAATGTTTGACTGCATAACCACCACCTGCCGAGCTGAACATGAGAATTCATGCCTGATAGTTTTATTTTTCCCACAGTGAATGACTTATCTGATTTGTGCCTGACTTCCACAAAATCTCTGCATCTCTGCTAGAATTACCATCAGTAGGAAAAACTCCTCACCACGCAGCTGGATTTCTCTTCCTTCACCCACGCTGTTACTTGTCCCTGATGTAAGGATACAGCCATAGTCTGCACTACTTCATAGTATTCAGTAAGCTTGAAACTCTACAATTTGAGGGGAAATCTCCAATACTAACATTAGATATCTGCAAGAAGCTGGTTCCGTTTCTTCCATACAGATGCCTATCAGAATCCTAGCGCAGTGCCGTGAGTTAATCTGGGTGTTCCTTGTTCAACACCATCATCAAGGCAGAGCATTGGCCCTTTGATACAGAATCTAGAGCAGGATGTTTCTCCACCTTCCGACAATCCTGCTTTTGATTTGGTTCATGACCCCTCTGTTTATTGTATAAGCGAATCATAAGGATTACTGGAATTCTTATAAATCCCATGTAAATAAAGGGTGAAAGAAAAGCCCACCTGTAATCAAACACTACGTAAGTGCGTGTTAATGGCCCGTTCAGTGCCCTAATGGGACACATCAGAGAAGTGCTATGACATTACACTCCATATCAAGAGGCCAGTAGACATTTTCAAATGAATAAATTCCTTTATATAGTTACAATAGTGACTGGTGACTACAGTTCATTACCTTATGCACAGCAAATAAAAAAACTCATTGGAATTTATGCAAATAACACAAGCTCTATGAAAAAGCAATTCACATTAATTATAAAAACACCTTAACTTGAAAAGTTTACCAAACCCAGTTATGTGGAGCACCTCGGTCTCTGAAAGCAGAACAGAAGCTGTTTGCAAGGACTCAACAGTAATTGATATGCAACTCCTTTGGCGAAGTGTACTGAAAGCTATGCTAAATCCCTGCTCAGTTGATGACAGCAGCAATAGTGCTGTTGTTTCTTAGAGTGCTGTTGTTTCTGAGGCTGGAATTTCACTCTAGTCTTTGCATTCTTTGTCAGTTATAGTGAAGCAACAGAAGAAAGATGATTAGAGAGCAGCCAATTAGGCTCACAGTTCAAGAATCCAATTTTCAAACAGCCCTGAGGTTTAGGGAGGGAGAAAGGGGTTTACAATGTAGCTAAACGAAGTCTTAATGAAAAACTGGGGAAAAAATGGCACCTTCCAGTAGCATAGCTGATCAGGATACTGAACACCACTCAGAAAGGAGCAAGTCTGAGGTTGCATCCTTGGTAAAGACATCGTTGTGTTTGCCTTGGACTAGAAAGGGAGGCAAGCACACTGCGTGGACATGTAAGTGCATGTAGAGCAAGACATTCCAGAAGCTGAACAATATCTCTGCATACATTAAGACACTGCTGAGGAGAAAAAAAAGTAAGCAAAAAGAAAAAAGAGTGTCTTCTAGTACTGAAATCATTGGTAAGATAACATGATTTCAAATCCAGCTCTACAGTCTTGATAAGCAGAAAGGATGCAACACTGGAGATGGAACATTTTTAGCTGGTTTGCCACTGAATACTTATTTGCAAGAGATGAGTACAGAAAGACATCTTCCTTCACAGAGGCTACAGGAACCACACCAATGAGCCCTGATACTTTACAGCACCCACGTAGCTCTAATTACTGTGGGAAAGAAAGAACTAAATAAATGTGCATTCATTTTCCTCCCCCTCCATGCCATGTGCCCTGCAAGACTAGAAACCCACGGCATCTGCATGTCACAAGCTTTCAGAAAGCAAACTGTTTGCCTCCTGTACTGCCTAGAAGCTCTCTGCAGCCACTTACATTAGCCATGCCCTCCACTACCAGCAGCAAGGAAAATGCTGACGAATCACAAGCTTTCTGTACCACCAGCCCAATGAGAAAATTGCTAATTATGCATTTTTTTTTGCTGTTTATGCAATTGATACGAATGAGAGACCTGTGACCATTTCCCAGGAGGGAACTCAATGCCAATCTGGCCAGATGTGCTACGGCAGCACTGCACCCAGGCAAGGCCCTTCTCCCCCGCCCCCCCCCCCTTTTTTTTTCTTGGCTATCAAAAATAGTCAGCTTGCCTAACTGCATCTTCACAAAAGGACATGTCAGGAACGGAGCCAGTAACTCCTGAACATTAACAAGATCTACCAAAGTAAGAGTTACCTCTTACAGTAATTCTGAATGCCCATCGCTGTGTGGTACTCCATCATCTACTTTTATTAATAGCTGTAGCACCCAGGCACACAGCTAGGAGATAAAAGAACATGAAGGGCACGAGCAGAATCACTTGAAGCTAAAGGCACGCAGCAGAACTGCATCGCACCCCTACTTTTTAATTACTTTAAAGGTGTGTGAGAAAGTATTGAGATTTTCAGGAAATCTATCACTCAGCTTACACAGTAAGCTATACCTTGTGCACTGTGTTCTAGACAGAGTCGCATTTAAAAGCAGCACACAAGCTTAAGTAACTTTAGACAACGCCAGCAAGTAATTTGTGCCCTCATAAATACAGTAGTGTACATCCTATATACAAACAGCCGCAGGCGGGCTGTTAGCCAGCCATCCACAGAACGAAGGTAATGAAGATCGTGGGGAGGGCGGTGGAGGGTGCCAGACCCAGGCAGATGATGGACGCTAAACCCACGAGCACCGAAGCAAGAACGCTCCTCTGGTCACGAATTATCATCTTGACAGTCTCACAGAACTGCAAGGAAAGAAAAAAAGGAAAACAAAGGAAAAACGTCAGGGTTAAGGAGGAAAGTGTCGAGATGACAGCTGGGATCGCTGCTTTCTCCGGTACGGACGGGCTGCCGGTGCCACAGCGCTTATGCGCTGCGTGAGAGAACGCAGCCTGCCGCTCCGTCACCGCGGGAGCTTTGGCTAACGCAGCGAGTGGGAGCTGAGCTCCCAGCCAGCCTCCTGTCCCGCAGCCCGGCGCCGGAGCAACGTGGGGCAGCCCGGCCGCGGCCCGCCAGCTCTCCCCGACGCTTCTGCCTTCGGGAGCCGGGGACTCCCTCCGGGGACGCCCTGCCGCCCCTCCCCGGGGCCGTACCTTGTCGGTCTGGAAGCTGACCGCAGCTCCATAGCGGCAGTAGGTGACGAAGTGCTCGCAGTTGTTCCAGAGCAGGCTGTAGGCCGTGGCACCCACCAGCTTCTCCGCACGGCGGGCGGCCTCCTCGCTGCCCAGCACCTGGTCCTTGAACAGCCGGTCCATGTGGTTGACCAGGATGCTGCCGCCGTACGCGAAGTCCTCCACCGTGTCCACGCGGATGCTGGCCGTCTTGGTGATGACGCCCAGGATGAGCCGCTTGTTGGTCACCACGCGCTGGATCTGCCGGCGGTCGTCGGTGAAGGCGGGCAGGATGTCGGGCATCAGGTGGGCGACGCGGTTCTCGCCCAGGTAGATGCCGAAGTGGACGAAGAGGGTGCGCGGCACCTCCAGCAGGTCGCCCCGCCTGAAGCAGCTCGTGTCGTAGTAGCCGGAGGCGGCCGGCGGCGGCTCCCCGCCCTCCGCTCCCGCCGGCAGCGCCCGGACGTGGACGAGGAGCAGCAGCTTCTCCAGCAGCAGCGAGGCCGCCTGCGGCACCGCGTTCTTCATGGCCGGCCGGGCCGAGGACGGGAGGAAAGCGGGGCGCCGCCGAACGGCCCCGCTTTTCTAGGCGGCCGGCCGGGGCGGGGCGGGCACGCGGGACGGCCCCCGGCTGCGTGCGGGGAGCGCCCGCCCCGCTCCGGCGGGGAATGCCGCCCGCCGGGCTCTGTCCGAGACGGGACCGGCACGGGGGAGCGAGTCCCCGTCACGATCCGGCTCGGAAAGAACGGGAAGAGGAGAAAGGGGCGTCGCCGTGCGTTTTGCTTCGTGCTAATCCATTATGTAAATAGATAAATCGCGGCAACGAAGCCTATGAAAGAGCGGCCGACAAAGCCGACCCGTCTAAGGGTTCGGTGGCCGGAGCCGCTTCCCGTCCCCGGGGCTGCGGGATGATGGATGGGGCCGGCATTCGTGGCACCTGGCACATGTCGAGCCGCAGCTCCCTGCCCGCCGCCTTTGTGCGGCCGCTTTCGCCTCTGTGCACGCGAGGCGATGGGGAATAGGAGGCAGGTCGTTGGAACGTCTGCCCTCAACACCGGGTTCTGTCTGAAGTCATTACCTTCCCAGTGGCTCTTCCTGCAGGTTGTGTGCACGGTGGTGGTTGCCACACAGCCAAGTACAAGGGCAGCTGCGTAACCCTTTGGCACCTCTCCACAGGCAAACAGATGTGAAACAGCAAATTATTTCTCCTATAAAATTACTTTCAACCTGAGAGCCTGCAGTCCGTGCACGGGAAGCCCCGAAGACCCTCAAGCTGTGGGACTCCTTTGGTTGCTCCAGGAGAAAGGAAAGAGCTCCCTATGCTTTCCACCGCCGAACAGCTCTGGTCCGAAGGGCAAGGCCTACCATGACACGTGCTGAGCCAAGGTTCAAGGGAGGTTCCCGCATACAAGAACTGTTCCAGGGAGGTTCCTGCATACAAGAACTATCAGGCTTATCGCTGACACAAAGCAGTTTTTCCACCACTCCTCGGTGACGCCAACACGTTATGAGAACTGCCGTCAGCAGAGAGATTCCTGAGGGACCCATGTTTGTCAGCTTGTTCCACCTGCAGAGACATCCACAGGATCCTCCTTCAGCCTCCGAGCACAGACCAGAGCTCCAGCACTGCTTGCCAACACGATCAGGCATTTGGGATTTTCTCTGAAGAGTCTCAGCCAAACTTTTACGCAACAAAGGCTTAGCTCTCTCCAGTCAGTTACAAAGGAGGAAATACCTTGTAGATGCAGCTCATGGTGCTGGTGTGAACCAGTGGATTAGCCACCAGTCACATAATTCTTTCAAATCTTTCAAATCCAGATGTTTCAATACACCCAGAAGGGTTGATGCTTTTGCTCATGCCTACTAGTAAATGAAAACATGGGCAAGGAGCTTTACGCACTCTTAACTGGCACATTTTTAAGGGACTGGAGAAAGGGTCCAGGTTAAAAACACTAATATCACGATAAAGAGCCTCAGCCACTGGGTGATGGCCATAGGGGCTGGTCCAGACACGTAGCACTGTGACACAGCCACAGGTTTTCAGAAACTCCACTTTAAGTCCTGGCACAGAATCATTCATCTCTCCCTCCTGAAAGCACAAATGTTCCACCTTGAGGCTCCCTCCATCCAGCCCCACTGTCTCAAGGCTCCCTCTTCCCAGAATGGCCAAAGGAGTGCCTGCATGATCTCTGTTGAAGGAAGTGTAATCCTTCAGAGCTACAGTTCAGATCTCTCTCCCACCCAGCACAAGAGAGAGGAAATTCAGCTGAACTCCCTGGCAGAAACAGACATTTCCTAACTAGATCTTTTACTTGGAGACATCCTTTGTCTGCCTTCTTAATATCCACGAGCTTTAATCCCCCAAATCCCCATTTCAAGTCAGGATGAAACTGAAGAAGAATCATCAAGAGACTCAAAGCCTTGCTACAGGGAAGGGTTTCAAAGGAATTAAGGTGACAGGTGTGCCATTATGCAGCGGTCACTTCCTCATCCCCTCATACCAAAGCACTAACAAGCTTTGTCTCTCCCTCCCCCTGAAACCACTCAATTTCAGAGTCTGAAGCCCCAAAGGAACAAGTACAGAAGGCATCACACAGATGGCAGATGTGTGGAACGGCTTCAATCCACACACAACTCACGTACGTGGTGGCAGCAAGTGAAAACCGTCCTGATAATAATACCTTGAAACTGCTGTGAGCAGAACACTCAGTACAACACCACACTCATCTCTGAAATCAACTCTTCACACTTTGGAACGGCAAACCTGCAGGCCATCAATACAGTCAGCCATCTTTTTCAAACTGCCACCAAACAAAACAAAATTTTGGTATGTAATTATTTTTCCCTCTGCTCAAATGGGAAAAGAAAGAACGAAAATCTTTTCGTCAGAGATGGCTAAACTGAAGGCTTACTTTGTGCCTCAAATTAAGCCTCCAATAACTTATTTCCCATCTTCCTGGATCACTTTCGTGTAATAACTTTTAGAACTTTAATAGATTAAATTGCCCCAAAGCTGGCAAGATCACTTTGAAATATTAAATATGATGCAGCAAATGAAGTACTTGTTTGGACTGTTACCTGCTACGGAATAATTATTTCATGGCAGACCCCATGATCTGCTTTTGAGAGCTACAAGAGATGCAGTAATAAAGCTGAAGGAGGTGAAAGAATGCAGCCTCTGTTTTGTATTGCAGATGAGCCACGGCACAAAAAATTCCCAGGTAAGAGGTGTCAGCCAGCTTCCATTACACTGAAAACCCAGCACATTAGATGGGTCCTTACTTTTAGGGTTTGAGTCAGTGCTGTTTCCATCCTGCCCTCACAGCTAACATATGGGAAGAGGCAGGAAAGAAAGGCAGTTGGAAGTGCAAGTTCTTGCCTACATAAGGAACAGCCCTGCTTTGCAGAATGTATTTGGTAACTGAAGTTAAGCCAATGCTAACGGCACACACGCTCACAGATTAACAACCAAATGCAGCTTTAACAAGCTTTCAGGTCAGCTGTGATTGCTGGAACAAAAACAAATTCATGAATTCAGAACACGTTAAGGAGGATAAAATCTTTGGACAGAGATTTCTGAGAGTATCTTCTGCAAGGAAAGCACCCGATGGGCAATGCCATGTGCTTTACACTGAAACATAACGCACAGAAAATGCATTTGTGAGGGATGCATCCAAACGGGGTAATTCCAGAGGTACAAAATAACCCCTTTGTACTCCCATATCCAGTCCCTTTGAAGAGTTCTTTTAAGCAAATTACAGCCTCCTCTGGAGAGCTCTAAGTGCCAAACTCTACAGAAGTGCATTGTTTTGTGATTCTGTGATTTGCTCGTTCCATTTTTGTATCAAACAAAGGCAAAGCACAGAGAAGACAAACTCTGATGGAAGAGGGGAACCAACAAGACAAAGCATGAAACTGCAGGTAAGTGAAACAACCCAAAGCAAAGACTTTTAAGAACTTCTGAAATAAGTATCACAGTTTTCCAGAAGCAGCAGCAACTTAAAATGACTCTAACAAATTTATACTTAGAAATGTATACTTTAATTCCAAAATAGCTGCGTACACATTTACAGTCACTTAAGCAGCACACTGAACAAACTGCATATATTCACCATTGCCTTTCTCATCTCCGCAGGTTTGCTACTGAGGTCTATCAGCTTTTTATTTTTAATTTCCTCTCAATACGTTTGTGTATTTTGCTGGGGTAAAAGGCTTCCAGATTATTAACAACAGTTTTCTAAATGAGCAATGAATGTAAACATGAAAATCAGCAGAAACATATGAAGTTGCACGCTTTTCTGCAACGAAGTAACGATCCATTTCTCAGAACATCTTCCATGAACCGTGTTACACAGGTAGCATCTACAGCTGGCTAATGTGTTGAGATGGATAAAGCTCTTGCTTATAACTTCAAGTTAAAGCCACAGAAAAGGGGGGAACAATTTGTTGTATAATCCTCATTAGCAAGCAAGGGGGCTAGGAAATTAGTAATAATGGTAGCACAGTGTGAGATTTGGGAAAGCAGTTCAGTGAAGTTCATCAAATACTTATTTTCATCATTTTTCTTATACTATTAGTACAGTCTTCCCAAAATAAAAGGGAAGATTCATTTCTGAAATGTTGGAATGTGCAGAGTAATATTTGCATGGCTTCTGCAGAAGAAACAGAGCTAATTTTTGGGCCAGAATTTCTATCCTGACAGTGCCACAGGAACTGACATAGATCTTGGGGGTCTCCGCTTAATCAAGTGAAAAAGTTCTCAGTACCCTAATTTGGATAGACTAGTAATATATTGCAGCAGGGGAAAAGGGTGGATGGGGAAAGGGAAATGCAGAGGTGATAACTGGAGTCGGGACAGAGACAAGAGAGCGCTTCATTGGTTAGTCCTTTTCAACTGATAGATGGACTTGGCAGGGAGGCTGGAGCTCGAGGATCTTGAAGGTCCCTTCCAACCTAAGCCATTCATTAGAAAGATGCTGGAAGTAATAGATAAATCTGTCATTAATTGGACAAAGAGCTGGAAAGTTGATGGATCGCCACCAAAGGGCTGCATTTACTACTGGTCGCTACACAGTAGTCACAATTACTAAACTTCTTCACAGCCCATTAGGGAAAGCTGTTCTCCAGTGCCAGGCAGTGCTAACTTCATGGTGATGCACAGCAGGTTGTCTAGCTTCACTCTACACACAGGGCAAAGACTGCTGAAAGGAGCTCAACTATACTGGTCTATTTAATTTTCAAATAAAGATTTAGAGAAGGAAAAGAGATGAATGGAACAGGAGGTAATTTTCATCTTGGAACAAAGACTGTATCTTGTCTCATAATTAAATGTTACGTTGCAATTTGTTTAATTCTATTTTACAGGAAATAAATTAATTCTCCATCAAATGTTATTAGTCACAGACGGAGCTATAAGTCTGGCATGACTCAAAGCAGTTATTAATTTGTACCATATAGCAAAGCCTCAGAGAGAGAACTGTCGCTGATTTTCTGCGGTGACTTTTAAGTCTGACTCTTGGAAAGGGTAGATAACAGTAGGACAAGGGGAAATGGTTTTAAGAGGGAGGGAAGATTGAGGTTGGATGTCAGAGGGAAGTTCTTTACTATGAGAGCGGTGAGGTGCTGGAACAGCTGCCCAGAGAGGCTGTGGATGCCCCGTCCATCCCTGGAGGTGTTCAAGGCCAGGTTGGATGGGGCCCTGGGCAGCCTGGGCTGGCAATAAATGTGAAGGTTGGTGGCCCTGCATGTGGCAGGGGGGGTGGAGATTCATGATCCTTGGGGTCCCTTCCAACCCCGTCCATTCTGTGATTCTGTGACTCAAAAACCCAGTTCTTCCTTATGACATTTTTATATTACTCAAAAGTGTTACAAAAACATATGTATCAAGCACCTGTTACTCTATCAATGATTTTAAATCAGGAACATTTTTAATCTGGAAATCCAGCAGCATCTGCCCAAGTGCTTTGCCCTGTAAGGAAAAAAAACCAACAACCACTTACTATCTAAATATACAGTCTTTGTAAATTAAAACTGTATAATATGGATATATATAGATCTTTAATCAGTATAAGTTTTATCATCAGTGTAAAAATTGAGCACGGTCAGTATGTTTAATGTGTATCACTATATATCCTTAGAGATTTCAAGTGAGTTTTCAATCAAGATCTGGATCATAGGTTTACTCGAATTGTACTTTTCCATAATTAATATTGCTCTCTTTCATTTAATTGCCTCACTTGTGAATTAATGTAGTCAAGCATGAAAAAACATTTACTCCTAAACAGATTGAGTAGTTTGTTGTATTTGTTACCTACTGGTAAAATAAACTTGAGTTCAGCTCTGCTACCCAATTCATACCTAGCATCATCCTACTCTGTGAACAGTCCCACAGCTAACAACAAATTACTGGGAAAACAGTGGAATATTCAGTTACAAAAGATAAATGCATTACATCAATACATGCCTGTGGGTCACTCCTTAGGGATGCTACACCACCACCACCAAGGGAATTCCTCAAAACAAAATTTAATGCATGGATTCCTGGCAATTCATATCTGTAAGATAAAATACACATTCTTGTTGTTACACCTCTCCACCCGAGATTTTGGACAAAAACTCATTTTTGTCATTTACAGAACAGAAGTAAAAAGACTGTGCAGAAACCAATGTGCTTCTGACAGCAACCTCTACTGGTCAATCAAGCCTAGGAGTTAAACTGAAGGTTAACCTTTCCTACTTTCTTATTTCTCACCCTTACACCCACTTGTCAGCCCTTAATAGTTCTAAAGGAGGATCATAAAGTATAACTCTCCTCCAATGTCAAAATTCATAGATTGCTAATAAGCCACTTTTCTCATTTCCATCACTCCAGCCATTTAGAAAGCTCTATAGGCATTTATTTCAAATCCAGTGTGATTTAAGAAAACACAACAGACAGAGGGAAGTATTTTTAATATTTCCTAGTTCTGATACTGAAAAAAATAATCACATAATCCCCAGAACTCACTTTTGCTGACACTGTCTGCCAGCTGATTTGGAAGTCATGCTCACTATTACTGAGAAATAACCATGACTCACTAGCTCAAACTCTTGCAACTATGGAGAATTTTTAATAAATTACAAGTAAAGCTACATTTCAACACTTCACTGGAGCCATGTGCTTCGTTAAGATAAAACAATTTTATTTTAGTATGACAGACCCATTTTCCTGTTCCACTGCCACTGTATGCTTTTTTTCACCCTTGCTTTTGGCTGCTGCATTTCCAATTTGGAAACTTTTCTGGAAGTCTGGCAAATGGCTTCATGATTTCCTAGCAAAGCTATTTCAAATTCCATAAATAGGTCTATAGCATATTTCCATTTGCCATTCCATAGTTTTCCAGTGCTTTGTCTCCTTCTGTGTACTCTTCCAGTGCTCCTTGGTTTTTTGTTTTCCTCCATTGCTTCCTTTATCTAAGGACTTGATGGCTTTCCTTTTTTTTTTTTTTCCTTCCCTCTTAGGAAAGAATTTCATCACAACATCAGCAAGACACAATGAATAACTGAAAAAGACCTTATTCAGCTCTTGCTGTGTCTCCAGATGTTTCACTGCTACAGTTTAAATCACATTTCCTCCAGCGTTGCCTGTTTCTCTTTAGTCATTTATCTGATCTTCATCTGTTTGCAACAAATTCTTCAAATCTGTTCTCTAAAAAAGCTGGAATTTCTTGCAGTACTCTTCTGTGGTTGAGGTTTATCTTCTCCAGTCCCTTTCAGCATTGTAAAAATGAGGGCTGCTGTTGATACTAATCAGCATTCGACAGGAATGAGTAGAATAAAGTAATTTAAGAAATGTCATCTATGTAACTGACTAATAATGTAATCAGCAAGGATTAGAGAACCTCACAACATTTCCAATTTTTTTTTTTGCAAACTCTGCAAATTCCAAGTGACCACATACCATGTCCATCAATACGCCACACTGCAAGCTTTACCCTAAATGAAATCTCCCAAAACTTCCAGGTAAGAAACAATTTCACCACTGGTACATCCCTGCATCAGAATCAGAATAATGGAACACGTGTTTAGAAGCTAAGACCTTAGCTCCTCAAAGAAGTTCCATGAAAATCAGCCATTCAAATAATCAGGAGAGAACCTGGACAGCAACAAGCAAACGAGGAGTGGAACACTTTAAATTTCACCCTCCTCAACAATTCTGGAAGCACGCAATGTGAGCTGTGGATCTTAATTTAGAACATCAAAGAGAAGCACGTTAGCTTCACACATCTTCAATAACTATTTAGAGTAAGATGTTCTAGCTAGAACTAGATTTACAGAAGCAATATTCAGAGGCAGCATTTTCAATACATTCAGACCTATCCGAAGCATCTGAACATCCTAAATCTTTCTGCACAAAAAATACACTCCTACACAAATATAAAAAACTTTAGCAGAACCATCATAGCAGTCTTAAGCAGCAACAATATATGAATTACATGTGGTCATGCATTTGACCAGCACAATTAAACAATTTATGTTAAACTAAGACCTAAAGTAAGAAAAACTTTCGATTGAACTGCACTAGGTCATGCTTAAGAGCTGCTTTTAAAAGTGCAGAAAACAAATCGACTCTTCAAAGAATATTAAGGCTGTGATGGAAACCAATGAAAGAAGGAAAATTCACTGCTGTAGCTCAACTCCTATGCTTATGCACAATGGGGTGCCTCCTTAACTACTTCCTTAAAGTGCTGTCCATACCTGTTCAAAGAAGCCAGGTTTCCCTGTAAATTTCCTGTTAGAAACGTATGGAAATAATAACGTTATAAAATTTGTTTATCGCGTTGGTATCAAGGAAAAGACAGCATTCTTCCTGTCAAGGGAAAGCAGCTGCTAGAAGAGATGTTTGCAATAAAACACATTGTAGAGAGGTACATGAGTCTGTTTTTTCCCCATAATAAATGTATATGCAAAAGCAATTTAAAAGTTTTGCTATCTGCCAAAAATTCAGTGTTTTGTTCCTCAGTTCTTCACAGCAAGAAATCCTTAAAAAAAATGCCCTCATGGATACAGTTCTAATAGAAATGCAATTCTCTGTTATAGAAATAGGTAACTGCAGAAATAATACTGAAAGATGTTGCAGCAGAAATGCTAAGTCACTTTTTGAACCAGTGGTTGAGCACCTGGTGGGGAGGCAGGGCCAACCCAGGGGAGCTGGGGGGCACACAATGCAACGCAATGCAGTGCAATCCCAGCTCTCATCTAAGGAATCTTTTGCTGCTGTGTTGCCTACATTCTGCAAGCTTCTGAGTTTACAACACTCTCTATTGAGAATAATCCCATCATTTTTTGTTTATTTCATTAGCCTTAAGGAGAAAGAATTAAAAGCAACCAGCTGACAATCTCTGTTATGTATTGAAGCAGAACCACAGTTGGTATGTTTTTAATAGCAAAAATAATGTCTATTGCTTAACAACTCACATTTAAAATGAAGGAAAATAAGACAGCCTTTCTTATGACAGTAAAATCTAAAAATAAATGAGTAATTTAACAGCAATCTGAAGCACACAAGCATAATAATAATCCTAAAGAGTTCCACATATGGATCTATTCTTTTTCCCACAGAGTTTTTTCAGTTGTCTCAAATAGCTCCATTATCACATCATTAAAAGAAACCAAACCCAGGAACAGATAATCTAATTAATCAAATTTAATTGGCTTTACCCAGACACAGCAAATTGGAACTTTTATTTATGAACGTAAACACCGTTAAGGAACCACAATGAATCCATTTCTATAGGTATCATTAGAAGGCCTGACATTTTTTATTTTTTTCCCCCTTTCTCTGGTCTGTTTCAGAGGAAATGTATTTACTTTCTAGATATTAGAATTTCTTAGATCTGTAGATTTGTTAGCACTTATGAAACGGTGGGTTCTGCGTAGATCAGTTCATCACGATGCTCAAAGACCAGGAGTTAAAATAGCTCCAAGTTCTCTGGGCTTTGAGCTGCACCTTTCTGACTCATGCTCTTTGACCAAGCAAAAAGACACTTATTTCTTGGCAGCCACAAAAAGATGTAAAGATTTTGGCAAAATGTCCATTGTGGTGGAACAAATAATGTTATATCAAAACAGGTTCTAGAAGGGTAAAGAGTTTGTTGCAGTATCAAAGCACTTGTTTTTAGTGAGACACAGCAGGCTTAAAACCTCTTATCTGCTTTACTGGGCACACTCAGGAGAATGAGCACTACTTCCTCACTCTGCAAGAACAGGATGTCTCATTTGCCAGGGATTTCCAATTCCTCGTCATGTAGTGACTTGGATGCTTGGGAAGCTTCAGTTACTAAGGCTCCTGCAGTTTCAAGACTAGGAATATGTTTCTCAAAAGTAGACTACAAGTTATTACTGTTTTGTAGACATTCTTCATTAGAACAGAACAAAAAATGCAGTGCAACTTGTTTTTACTTAAAAATGCAAAGAAAGATACATTAAAGAAAAAAAAGTTGAATACAGATAGGTCTGCAATACTCTATTTAGTTTAAAACACCTTCTGACACCATCACAAATCTATCGTACAACTGTACTGCACAAGTTCCTTACTACTCACCTTGATACCAGCTCTTCTTCAGGTTTTTCTCGCTCTAAAAGGTGTTCAAAGTAGTTCTCCAAGGCTTGAGCAGTTAAAGTTTTCTTTAGATATGGATAATACAAAGGATGCCGTGCTATGACACCTGTTAGGTAAAATTAATGATAGTTGAAATATGAGCTATTGAAACCTATTTGTAATTATCCTTTCAAAACTGATTTGAGGTCATCCTCTCAACTGAAAATGTACGTATAGATACTCTTTAATGAACACCTGAATAAAGGAGCAGGACAGCCTTTCCTCTGTCAGTAGAGAGGCAGTGTGGTGCATGACATGGAAGAAGGCTACCGAAGTACATGATATTAACAATTTCATTCTTCTAGCTGCAAGTGGACCCTGCCACTGGAAAACACCTGAAGAAAAACAAAATACCACCCCCCCCCAAAAAAAAACCAAACAAACAAAAAAAAACCAGCAAAAGAAACAATACATGAAGTTATCTTCCCCTAAAGGGTGTGCAGGACTTAGAAAAGTAATTGTAGCTGACCATTAACAAAGCATGATCAGATCAGTAGTGGGTTTGTTTTTGGTTCTAACGCTCACTAACTGCAAGAAATGACAGTTTTTTATTGCTGTAAGTATGCATTGATAAACTCCAGGTAACTTTATGCTGAAGCCAATGTTCCACAGCAGGATCAGGAAAGCAGGTTCATGTCACAGATCTCTTTATCTAGGGACTTAAAATTAATTTCACCTCATAAGTAGTTTGTTGTTCATTTAACAAAGCAATAGTTTCTTTATATCTGAGGAAGCCCACTGGCAGTGCACACACAATTCATGACCTGACAATGCTATATTGTATTAATAGTCAACCACAGATGGAACAAATAAAATAATTTAAAATAATAATAATAATAATAATTAAAAAAAAAAATCAACACCTCTTCACTCTTCAACACAAAGAAAAGCTTCACAAAGAAGGACAAGAAAACCTTTTCCTTAAATATAAACAAAATCCATCAGTCTTAGCACGACAGCTAATAGCAAATCAAATCCCAAACGCACCTTTAATTCATACTGAGCTTTGAACACCACACGCTCTCATCTTCGAACAAGTTAGAGAGCCAATTGTTGCATGCAGAAGTAAGGAACAGAGGGAATTATTAATCAATACAAGAAGCAGCATAATCAACGTAAAGCCTGCACACTGAAACATACCACTTGGATTTACAATATAATTAAAAACATTCTCTTACTTTCAAGAACAACTTTGGTATTTCCTAACAATATTTTAGCCATCTACATGACACAAAATTAACATACAGAAATAGTACACACCTTCAGACAACCAAGAAATTATATTATATAATAGACAGACACGAAGAAGTAATAACAGATGTGCAGAAGAAACCCTAAAAATATGTTTCTTAATTTTGGGGTGCTTACTCTTCGCAACCGTAAACAAAGCTTTATATTATAAGACATTCAAGTGTTTTTCTTAATACCTCAGATTTCAAACAGCTGCTGAACACTGACGTACAGACACTGCATTAGTTAAATACTGTTTCATATGGATTGTTTCATTTGAGAAATAATAAAAGAAATAATCAAGTTATGTTAAGAGATTTCCCAAAAATTAAGGAGAGCATTTGGTGCCTCTTAGCTGGGAGACTTAAACCACCTTGAGAAGAAAGATAAATACCTATGTTTGCAGAGTTGCCTTTGTCTCCACTTCTAGTGTAGGCAAGATCCTCTAGGCGGTAGGTATGGTGACCACTTGGCAGATCTGTGCAAGGTAAAAATGAATGCACTGTAATGACAGCTACACACAATGGTACATTTTGAAGAAGTAACTGTCTTTACAGTCTTCCTGTTTGTCTGTAGTACTCTCACAAACAACGTCAAAATTTTCTTACCACAGATACCAGAGAAGAAGTTGTGAGGGTGGGGGCAAAACCACAAAATTGACTGTTTCTGTCCTGATGTGTATTTATAAAGGCAAATCAGCTTTACTTTTACATAGCTGAATGCTGTGCCACACGTCCCCTGTTCTGCCACCTCTGCATATGAAAATTCATCTCCATCATAGCAGTGCAGTACCTCTGAAGGAGGCTTAGCAGACATGTGGTATTTCTTGACCAGCTGTTTTCCAGTTAACATATAGATTTCTCTGCTTCCAGTGTGGGTAGAAAATACATTTATTTACTGATAATTTGTTGTCCGTAGAAAGCAGATTTAAAACTCTGTTTGAAGACTCTGCATCTCTCTTGCTTTCCTACATGCTGCTATAAGGGTTATTTTTTGCAAATATTTTAGTGTCATCTGGAAAAGGCATTTCATGGTCATAATTGCATTTGCTATCAGAAGCTAGTCAGTTTTTTAACTTGTCTGGAATACTGGATTTTCAAGTCTTCATGAACATTATTACTATTACACTCCATAGAACAAGAAATATTATTTTTATCTACTTATAAATTAAAAAAAAAAAAAAGCAGCCCCACTCCTTCCCAAATCCAGAAGTCCAATCCTGTTGAAGCCACAGAGTTTATAAACAAGGTTGGATTGTTTAGACATACATCACAGACCTCTTGCAATTCTTCAATAGTAAGCAGCAGGCAGCCACCAGCTAGCTGCTCCTCTGAAGGAGAGATGAAGTGCTCACCTTGCCACCACATCTCAGTTATCCAGTGACAGAAGCCTAACACTTAAACTTGAAGTACAATTTATATCCTTTTTTTTTGGGCAGAGAGAATCCAGTCATTTCAAGCCTGTTGTGCTTCTAACCCAACTTCCCTCTGGACATATTAGCTCTCCTAGCATCCCTGGCTTCAGTGCCAGCATCTCAAACTTATCCACCTATCTGCCTTGCATTTAGAATTCCCATCCTTCATCCTTTCCTATAACCCCTTCCTGTGATTTTCTATCTTCCTGCACATGAGTGGGCAGGTTATATCCTCTCTCTGCTCCTTGAACCCAATAAAAGGAACATTCATGGTATAGAAGTGACATTTTTCCTGCTTTCTGGTGTGACACCAGGTGGCATCAGCCACAGGAAACAACTGACAAACAACTGACAAAAAAATTGACAAAAAAAAAAGGTTTGGTTTTTTTTCCCCTTTCTTTTAGAAAAATAATTCAGCCTAGAGCACATTGTCAGTCTAACGTGTTAAAAACTCAAACTTGTATTGAAGAGAAGGTCTTGTAAATCAAATGTCAGATAACCTCCAATAGAGGAAACCATTAGCAGGGAACAATCTGGGGCTGACCACAGCAAACATTTTCCGATCTAGCTGCACCAAAAAAGGACATTACTCACATCCTAAAGGAAAATCTAGAAATTAGTTATGGGTTAGTCTAGTATAATAATACTTCACTGGCAATAAACAGAACTTGAAGTGTGGAAAATACATGACAGAAGAGTTAACATAGCAGATGTGTTTTGAGCTTGATGCTCAGTCTTTTCTACGTTCACTTCCATGAAAAACAGTGTCATAAAACTTGCCAGAAAATATTAAAGGGTATATTTATATAGCTGGGGAATATTTTTTGTGATTAAGCAAGTGAGATCCTCTTCTGATGCAGAAAGAGCCCAGGTAAAGCTCATTCCTCACTTCGGCCAGATCTGCCATACTTTGCACAGTACAGAAACTGCTTTTCTTTTTTCTTTTTTTTTTTTTTTCTTTTTTTAATTTTTATTCGATCTGCAATTCCAAAAGAAAAAATATTTTTCAAAGGTTGAAATGTGGCAGTGTTCAAATTTTAGAAGATGTAGAAGTCATCAACGACGTTTCAGACAGTCTCTGACAGTCTTCATTTAAACAAAACCATTTCGAGACAGCACTCTGCTGTTCTCATTTATTGATTTATTGATTTATCCTTCATGATCTGTTTATCAGGAAGTTGTTTTCATTTAACAAACATCTTAAATCTACAGAAGAATCCTCTTCGAAGCTAGGGCAAACAGTAAATTCAAATTCCATCCTTCCAGAACCACATCTAGCAGAATTTTTGAAATCCACTTTCGCATATTTCTCTTATCTGTTCAAAGACAACCAGCAGTCCCTCACACTTGAGATAACCATGAAACCAAGAAAAAAATACTTCTTTCCTTACTAAATGCTGACAAAATGCTTTAGCAGAGTTTACTGCTTTTACAGTCTAATCCATCTATTTCTCATCTATGTTGTCCATATGTTAAGTCACAGAAGTAGGTAAGTATTTAGTCACATAGAGAAAACATTTCTATTTACAACTAAGGGCAAAAGTTTAGAGGTCCTTCTCAGGGAAAAAAAACAGAGGAGATCTGCTGACCCTCAAAAGTAGAGTTCTGCCTGAATAAAGCCTGAAGAATTCAGTACTTAAAGCTGATCTCAGGCACCTCAGAAAGTCTTCTCGAATGACAAGAAGGCATTTGAAAGCAACAGGAAGCCTAACTGCTTTTTTTTTTTTTCTCCAATATTTATTGTTGCAGTTATGTTGAAATTAAAAAGTAAATAAGTAAATAAATGAATAAATCAGTAACTCTGCTAGCCTCTTCATTAGAGAAACCACGATCTTCTATTCCTTAACTCACTGAGTGTGATGATGATAATCCCCCACTGCCCTCCCTGGAACTCCCATATATCAAAGAGATTCTGCTATGAGCTTTGATTAGCAACAGACATAATCAAGAACTGAACACACTGAAAACTAAAATTTATTTCTGTTTGATGCAAGAAGATTTCCTTGAAGGGATGTCTGAAAGGACAGAGAAAACAAATTCACACATGGCAGATGGATGTTCAGTATCAGTGACTTCCAACACGTAAACACATAGCCACGCATCTATTTGAAAATTTCTCTACATTGTATAGAATATCTTCCATAATTGACAATTTCAGATTCTACTAGTAGTTTTGAGAAATTCCACTCACTGATTTTGGATCCAGATTCAGATGATATGAAGGTACAAAATGTTAAGATGCAGTTTTTTTTGTATATACACACACTCGAAGATCTAAATTTTTCTTTCAGGACTAGTATTACATTTAGAAATAATTTGAACAAATAATCTTTACTTGAAGTTACTTGATTTAGATTTGAAAGGCTCTATCCACAGTTTTAAATTAATTATCACATCTCTCTAGTGAGCAGAAATATAACAATGAAGATTCTGTCTGGATCGAAAGGAAACTATGAAGAAGGCTGTATGTTACAAAATGCAGCATGCAGTTCTGCCATTAGAAGGGATAAGAAAAACTGTAAATACCTAAAAGGTTCTATAATCCTTAATCTAATACCTAGCATCCATGAACAACTCAGACTGAACACTTCACTGCGGACATTCAGACCTACTCATCTTAGCTCACTGGTTCACCCAGGTATCTTCTTTTCCTTCTTCAGACATACGTATTAGAAAAGTGGAATAGAAATGTTCATAAAGAAGCATTATTCTAATATCCTTTCTTCAAAACTTACTAGCTCCAGGTCAGTCCCATTCTTATTCATTTCATGAAGCCCAATGTAATATGGCTGAATTTGTTTATCCAAATTATTAAGGACTCTGTACTTCTGCCTTCCGTTCTGAATGCAAGTACTTTGATTTAATTAAAACCAACTTGTACCAGGATTAATACAATAATCTTTAAATATACTTTCAAACCATGTTTCAATATCAAGTAAAAGTTCAAGTGTGCCTAAGGCTATGGTGTTTTTTTTTAAAGCAATTTGATATAGCCTTGTTTTAGACTCCAGTGTGATACTGTCTGATGCTAATCGCCACCCTTCCTAAGAAAAGTGGCTTACGAGTTTTGCAAAGGAATTCATAATGCATAGTGTAAGGAGGTAAGACCAATTTCTTAGACAAAATTTAGCACGTGATTTTCTTGGACAAAGATGGGAAATGATACACTGCAAGTAGAGGATGATCGTACCTTTCAATTCAGCATTAATCTTGGGTGGATCAAAGGAAACAGCCTCATCTGATGTAAACGTGAGATCCTCCTCAAATGTCTCAACATACTGACCATTTAGAAATAAGTTGATCTGGAAAAAAAAAACAATTCCCAAACTGTCAAATTAGGCCAAGAAATCCAGCACAACACGGGAATATCTTTTTCTAATTAAATATTCATCTCCAACATTTTAAATAAAATCTTTTTGATCATTTTTCTCAACTGCTTAAGATTTTTCTTAGAAAACAGCAAATGGCAACAAAGGCCTCCAGTGGTTATTTAAAGGGAAGACCAAAAAAAAAAAAAGAGAAAATTATTCTTGTTTTCAGAAGGCTTGCTAGGATTCTTGCTCCTAGCACAAGTTTTAGGTTACCCCTTAAACATGAAAAAGCATACATGGAAAATAACTCAGTTTTGCACTGTAAAACCACTCGTGACCTGTGGTAAAATCAGGACAGTTGCGTAAGAGCACTGAAAACAACACATAACCAATGAGGTATTGAAACCTGAAATCCAGAAAAGTGTTATCAAACACAAAACAAAAGAACCCACTGTGGCAATATTAATGTATCTGAAAATCTCCTTATGTAGTATTTTTGGGTTTAGATCAAATTCTAGGTTTATCTCTATGGCAACTGGACTCTTTGTAAATGAAATTCCAATCTAGAAAAGAAGTGAATTCATACCTTATTTACTCTGCAATCTCTATCGAGATCTTTCTTAATACATGGCTAAAACTTTGGCACAGGGACCGAATCACTTAGACCATGCTTTTATATAACCTTTGTTGCTTTTCAACAGTGACAAAGAATATCATTACGAGCGTATTAGCCTGCTCACCAGATCAGTTCCTCAGAGCAAGCATTTTGATTTTCTGTATTGTTAAGAGACAATGCTGTCTTCCCTTGCTAAATGAAATTACTATTTAATCTTAGCAGGCATTTGACCACATTTAGAACACAGTGCTCATTAGTAATTTTACATGTGATTTGATAAAGCAGTAGCCTGAACTTCCATAAAGACAATACTTTAATATTAAAAAAGACAAGCCATCCATCAGCCACTGACAGCAAAATGTCAGTGGCAATAAGAATGGTAAGTACTTCAACATCACAAAGCTGCACCAGGGAAGGTTCAGACCAGATAGCAGGAAAAACTCATTTACTGTGAGGGTGATCAAACACTGGAATGGGCTTCCTAGAAAGGTGGTTCATTCCACACCATCAGTTTAAGAGGCATTTGGTTAATGCCCTTAATAATATGCCCTAACTCCTCTTCATCCCTGAAGCGATCAGGCAGATGGACGTGATCTTTGTAGGTGTCTTCCAACTGAATGTTTCTATTCTAACTTCTTCCAAAGCAAAAAGTGGTTTTGCAATACTTTTCCACTATCCACAGTTTGTCAGTGTGGTTTCAATAACTGCGTGGAATCTCCTCTTAGAATTTAATGTTAAATTCTTTTCCACCGATGTTGAGAAAAATGTAACACTTATTTGTGCTGAGCACTAAACACGTGTCTAAAAATGAAACAGAACAGTCCTTTCAGGAAATCTTCTGAATCCCTAAATTGATTACTGTAATTTATTTACAAAGTTTGTTAGTTAGTTCTGCTGGTTTCTTTAAGTTAACTGTTTTTGGGGTTTCTTCTCTCTTGCTGCCTGTGCTCTTAATGCTTCCCCTCTTCACTTGAAACAGAAGCCTGTCACTGTACTTAGAATCATAGAATCACAAGGTTGGAAACGACCTATAAGATCATCCAGTCCAACTGTTTTCTCATCACCGCTGCTACCACAAGCACTAAGCCGTATCTCACAGCTCCTCATCCAGGCGCCTCTTGAACACTGCCAGGGACAGCAACTCCACCACCGCCCTGTGCAGCCATTCCAGTGCCTGACCACTCTGTGAGAGAAAAAGTTCTTCCTCATGTCCAACCTAAACCTCCTCCGGTACAACTTGCGGCCATTTCCTCGGGTCCTGTTTGTTGCCTTGGAGAAGAGGCCAAACCCCTCCTCAGCACAGCCTCCCTTCAGGAAGTTGTACAGTGCAGTGAGGTCTCCGCTGAGCCTCCTCTTCTCCACACTGAACAATCCCAGCTCCATCAGCCGCTCCTCATAAGACTTGTGCTCCAGACCCCTCACCAGTTTTGTTGCCCTTCTCTGCACACGCTCCAGGGCCTCAATGTCTTTCTTGTAGTGAGGGGCCCAAAACTGAACACAGCACTCGAGGTGCAGCCTCACCAGTGCTGAGTACAGGGGATGCTCACCTCCCTGCTCCTGCTGGCCATTCCTAATGCAGGCCAGGATGCCGCTGGCCCTCTTGGCCACCTGGGCACACTGTCGGCTCCTGTTCAGCCGAGCACCAACCAACACCCCCAGGTCCCTTTCCTCTTCACCGTCATCCAGCTACTCATCCCCAAGCCTGTAGCGCTGCATGGGGCTGTTGTGCAGCACCCGGCACTCAGCCTTGTTGAACCTCATCCCATTCACCTCAGCACAGAGATCCAGCTTATCCAGATCCCTCTGCAGAGCCTCCCTGCCCTCAGGGAGATCCACACCACCTCCCACTCAATGCCCTCATCTAGGTCATTGATAAAGATATTAAACAAGATGGGCCCCAGCACTGACCTCCGGGGGACACCACTTGTAACAGGTTGCCAGCTGGACTTAAGCCATTAACTATTTATTAACTGTTACCAACTGGGCACGGCCCTTAATCCAGCTCTTTTCCAAGAGAACAGTATACCTGTCCAGCCCATGGGCAGCCAGTTTCCCCCACTTAGTGCTGTGGGCCAACACAGAACGACATTCTGGCCTTTGATTGCTTCCTCAGCTGCTGAATGAGAGAGGAAGCTCTCATACCATTATTAGGATTACAATATAATTTGGAATAGAAGACAATAAATCAAATAAAATGAGAAAGAGTGAAAACCTTACTCTAGCGCTGAGCTGAGAATCTAGCCAGGCAGAGCAGAAGAGAAAAGAGAGACAGTCTGTGACTTGCCAGGAGTTTTATCCCCCCTGTGAACACAAAGTCCCCTGGGGTATATAGTTCTTCTCTTCTGGGACTCCAAAAGAAACAGAGCAGGCTTTAAGTGTTAAGTCTTACCTGGACATTGCTCTTTGGATAATGGAAGAAAAATGGCTTCAAAACTGGAGATCTAGGCACACAAAGCAATCATAAATGTATTTAAATACAAATTAATGAAAATCTTCAGATTATTCACATACTTCACAACCACTTGGAAAATTGAAAGCTTTTTACCCATAATTAGCAACAGTTTTCTGAACAATTTCAGAAAGCTCAAGAAATGCAGAAATGCAGAAATTACTTAAATTTAATTACTAATAAAGCAAGATTTTATTTTAAAAATTAACTTACATTCTAGGGCGCCCTCCAATAACTCCAGTGAGGCCAGGTGCTGGCGATGAAAATGAAATTCACAAAATAACTGTTAAATTCACCTTCAGAAATATCAAAGCTCATTGCTTAAGGTAGTTAAAATCATTTTTTAACACAGATTTATTAATACTTGGAAACATTTAGCAAATTACATAAGGTATCAAGTTAATACAACCAGACATTTTATAGAACAGGTAAAATGGCTGAACATGTAAAAAGTACTGTCTTAAAAAAAAGATTTTGTCTCAAGATGTGCAAAGCATAAACTGCTTCGAAAGAAGAACCTGATGATTTTTCTTTATGTATGCCAATGCTGGTCAGGCAATACATTTGGCAGAAGAATAACTAGTCTGAGAGATGGGAGTGCTACTGTTTTTTTTTCACTTTTCAAGAGAGCAGAGAAACAACTCTGACCAGATCCATACACAATTTCCCGCTGCTTTATTAGATTAACCATTTCAGATGCATCTCTCTCAAGCATTTTCACTGGCTAACACAGCTGGTTTTAGGTTCCTCTACACTGCACATCCCATTCTTTCTTTCTCTTTTCCACATAGGTAATTTAGGAGCTTTAATCACTAGCATGACTCAAGATTTGTAGTAAATCAGTACTGTGATTGGATTCTTCTCAACACCTGGTTGTTACACTTTTCTGCCATTAAACTTATCCAACAGATCAGTATTCCTGAAATAAACAGTTCTGCTCTTCCTAGCTTATCTTCTACCCTGTCTGCCTGGCACAGATAGTATACATACACGATACATCTACTATTTCTTTCCTCTGCAGTTCTGTAAAGTGTGTATGTTAAATCAGCCTAGGAATTAAGCTTCCCAAATGGTGTGTTTACCCAAGTTTGTCCTGGCTAACTTTCCTTCATGCTTCTTCCAGGTGTATTTCTCTGACCAAACACCAAGAAACACACTGTCGTGGCAATAAGCTCACACTGGTAACCTCTACCACTCAGCAAGTTGCCTTAGCTTAGGTTTGGTGCCTTGGTAATGCAGACCAAGTGGTAGCACAGGAGCAACATAGCACAGGTCAATGTTACAGTCCAAATCCACGTTCAGTGGAGGAGTGATTTCCCTGAAACAGCATGTAAGCAAGGTGCCTTACTGAAATCTTTCATAAGGCACGCTGTTTCATAAATAAATAAATCTCAAATAAGTTAACCATGAATAATCAACCCTCTACCCACCAAGTTCTGCTGCAAAGGATACGGTTGTGGACAGAATGGAAACTAATCTCTTACAATTACACAGTTTCAAATGATCCAGGGAAGATTAGACTCCAGGAACACTACCTGTATGCTCTTTTAAGCAACAAAAAAAAAATCCATGCAATATTAAAACCAACTGCCATTATTTGCTGACTGAATTATGCTCCTAGTTTATTTAGGTTGTTGGGCAAGGAAGTGGGATATGGTAAGGTCATGTTGAAAATAGGCTCAGAAAGTTAATTTAAAATTATCTGCGGATTGTCACATGGCTCACTTCCCACTAGGCAGCTGAACTGCTCATTAAGGGTACCAGATTTTGCTCCAAAATCTATTTCAACTTCCTGAAAGCTCCTGAAAGCTGTCTGCTCTCATACAGTGAAACTTGGCTTCCAGGTCAAAGCAGTTCTCTGAACACTAACAAGAAAACAATATAAAAATCTAAAAGCATCAAGTACTCACACTCTAAGGCTATGATAGACTTCTATTACTGTTTACAATCACTACTCTTGCAAACTCCTCCAGTGTAAGCTTCTGTAAATGTGGATCTTTCTCAGGACACACTGCAGCTGCCCTGCACATAAATGTAATTGCAAAGCAAACCTATGTTGTTACATGCCAGCTGCAACATCATTCATTTCTATGTTAGAATTATTGAATCCATTGCTTATGTTAACGTACGTAGGACTGAAGCACTTGCAAGTATAATTTAACATATACACAAACAATTCCTGTTTAGACTTCAGGCAGAGAAGATGAACCAGATCTTAAATCGACTGTGGTTTACGACTGGTTATTTGTGTGAACAGATTGCACCAGAGCACAAACCTCACCTCCATCCCAGGGCTCCCTACTGCATTTCTCAGTCAAGACTGAAAGAAGGCAATGAAACGTTAAGCACCACTCTCCAACAGCAGGTCTGACCACAGCAGCAAGCCTGCTTCTAAATCACTCGTGGTCTCCTTAACTCAACCAACACACCTTTGAGATAGAGAGATCTACCTGTGCTGCAATTCACGCTTACTGCACGGTCCTTATGTAAATACCTGTGCAGATGTTTCCCTTCTTTCTTGCTGGAAGAAGGTGTACTTATCTACAACGAAATCTAGCATGAATAATTTGCCATACTTGTGGAGAGTATCAGTCAGACTGTAGCATCAAGTACATAAGGCCATCAGCTAAATCAAAGTTGTTGATCTATTTTCCCAGAAACACTGCATGAACATCTTCTGTTATCAAACTGCATTCATTAGTCCCCCAAGGCAGATAAGCATTGCTAAGAATGATGTCATCCAATCTGCAATCAGTCAGTTTCAGTTGGAGGGACTATCAACTCAGTTCAGTTACTCAGCATCAGTATTTATCAGCTTCTGTGCCTCATCAGAGCAGCACTTGTAAAAAGAATGTGAATGCCTTCAAGTTGATAAAGCATTTTCAGACTTTCTTAATCCACCTATATTCCGTTCATCTGCATGTATAGTACCATCATACTGAATATTCATTTTGTCTCAAGGGTCTGATCCAGTGACTTGCCATTTCCTAGAACAATTTCACTCCCAGGTCTGAGGACACAGCCTGAAATGACAAACTATCAAGGGCATTACAAGCAATGAGTCAGCATTGGAAATGGTGCCACTTCAGTTCTACTGATTTCATTCACTTCTGACTATATGGAAAGACTTGGAGAAACGTCTGGCACTAAGTCCACTAAATTTACTTCTTTCTAGGTGATGGATTTAGTGCCCTTCCATTGGATATCAGGGTTTTAAAAGGTTTGAATCTACAGTCCACCATTTTTGATTCCTTCAAGCATGTTTTCATTCTGCAGCTCAGTGTTTTTCACTTTCTCACCCTACAAAACTCAAACAAGGATGGTCTTGTCAATACTTGGACAGCCCATATCATGTTAGAAAACACACCTAGTAGAGATTTAAAAGCTTTAAGTAGTTTAAATTCAATAGCTGATACTTTCTTTGAAACTTCACTGTGTTCCAAAGTACAACCATGTCTCCTTGTGACGACTGAATTAGCTCAAACAAAATCTGGTTAATGTATTTATCGTATACACTCAGGAATTATATATTTGCTATATATTTACAGTTAGTTCTTACAACGTAGTGTAATAAAAGTACAAACTGTGTACTTTTTTAAACGGTGGTCAATTATACATTCTAATTATTACATATCCTCTGCACGCAGCAGATAAACTATCTTCTGCAGTATTATTCTCAAACAAAAACGGAGACTGCAATAAATAGTCAGAACTGCGACGTTCCTTGAAGTTTCTTCCAGCGCACTTACGAGATCAGTCATAATATTTACATACACTCAAGTACTTTAAAATCTCAAGTTGTATTAACCAGCTGTCATCTTAGTGTCAAACTCTGGTCATTTCAATGTGAAATAAGGGTCAGCACATGATTTAAGCTATTAATAAAACACTTCTTAGCTACTGAACTATTAAACTACAACTAGTGACACTTCCATTCTGCAAGGCACTTCTTGACTCTTCCCCACTAGGCTCTATTCAGAAAAATCTATCCAAATTTAAAAAGTACAGAAAAGCACACTTTGTAGAACAAGAAAACAGCTCTAAAATTGTACTATTAAGTCTGAAAATTAAAGACTAAATTGCTAGCCACTGTTAAATAAACTCACAATTATCAATTTTCAAATTATTGAGAAACCCAGAGAACAAAAAGCATTCTTTCACCAAATGGAAGTTAACCAATCTCAGGTACTAACTGCAAAAAATAAAAAATGATTGGTTTAGTTTTTTAATAGCTTGTATCTCCTTAAGCCCATTAAGCAATCAAACTGAAAACAGACTGTTTAAACTGGTAAACGAGGTATCCAGCTCAACAGCAGTTTACACTACAAATGCTATATTCCAAACACATAATAAAATCCCTCTCTCCTGGATGACATCTACATACAGCAGCATGAAATTCTTCTCTTTGCTTAAGCATCTGCAACTTTAATAATATGAAAATTGTACAGCAGAATGGTAGTGTGCAAGTATGCTCAAGTGCTTCACTGGTGGTCAATAAAAACAAGGGGAATTAAAAACACATTACAGAAATGAGCTAAAAACCACATCTCTGACGTTCTAACAGCCTGAGTTTTAAGTCTCCGCTGTGAAGCACTATGCAGAACACTGCTGCAACACACCTACTAACCACAAGGAAAAAATACTGCTTTTTATCCTGCTCTTGCTCCCTGTAAAGACTGAAAAGCTGAAACTGCCCTCTAAGTTTTACCAGGTAAATAGCTCAAATATATTTGGACTAAAGTGATTAAATTTCACTTAAGTAAAAGACACTGCTCTGATAACATGAGCTGAAAGCTGGCCAGTCACCTTAAGAAACAAATGTTCACATACTATGGAGACTCACTGTTAATACTGTACAGTACTGTGCTACTCAAGTCAAGTAGCAGAGATTTTTTACTGTTTATTCTTATAGACAACAGTAGTGAAAAAAAACTGGACAAAGCACACACTAAGAATTTTGGAGAGACAACTGTGTGTCAACTTCAGATCCTAAAAATAAGCAACTGTTTTAAATCCAACCATCTTTCCTTTGTTGAGAAGGACACTTGCTAGGGGATCATCTATGTACATATAAAATAAAGAACAAGTAGAGATTTTACTTTCAGGAACAGAACACGAGAATGATGAAAAGGGAAAAACACTACTTCAATTGTAAATCCTTAACTAACTTCAGAAATGGTAGCTCAATCTAACCATGAAAACAGTATCATTCATTAACGTAACAGTCTTTGGAAGTAATGCACATCTGTGGTAAATGCTGATCCACTAAGTAACCTTCACAATTGCAAAATATTTTAAAACGAATCTTCCTAATTACTTCTAACTGATTGTATTCTGTTTTGTAGGAGGGAGTAAAAAAAAAAGGGGAAAAAAAAAAGAGGATCAATCCTTCTTTTATAAACAACTAAAAAGAGGTACTATGCTATCTGCAGCTCTGACACCACCTTAAAAACAGAGAACATGCTTAGTTCCAAACAATTTTGAATCCACCAAAAGAAAATGTTGACCAATTGTTTAATTGCACAGCAACATTCAGCCACCACGAATCAGGATTCTAAACGTGTTCTGGAAGTTGACATTCAGGTTAAACAATTTAATTTGAAGATTCATGTAAATCCCCAATACGTTGCTCTATTAATGCAGAGAAGCAATTGCAACGCAGCCGACCTCCAGTCTTCCAGAAGAAGCTCTCCAAATTTTAAATGGATTTTAAAAAGATAAATGAGTGTTCGTAGCGTAAGCAGCAGTCAGATCCCAGCATATAATGTAGACCTTACAATTAAGATGAATACAGTGGTAACACTTAGATTTGATGTGGGTGGAGAAGAGAAAAAAAGAGAGAGAGAAAAAAAAAAAGTGCTCAAAGTGATCAGTTAATAAGTTCTCCTAGAAGCTGTGACAGTGCAATGAAAATTACAGTGAATAAATGCAAAGTTTTTCTTGGAACAAATATCTAATAAAACAAAAGAAGCAGAGACGATTTCACAACAGGTGACCTTTGTGCAAATACTTAAAACTATATACTCTTAAAACCAAGACTGACTTTTAATTAAATCCTGGTGTTTTGTCTTTACTTTGGAGGTCAATGAAGAAAATCCAGTACAACACACTCACTCCCAGTCAAAAGTTAAATACATTAACGTGAGGCTAGACATAATAGTGCAAGATCAGAATTTAAGTTGGGGAGCTAACATGCACAGTGTGAGTAAAGACTCAGATGGGGACCATCAGCATTCTCACTGCAGTATACTATTTAAAACTTTTAAATTAGATCCGAAAGTTTGACTTCTCTACATAAACAGCTAAATTATATTGTTGGAGAAAGATGTGAATGTTTACCCATGCCAGTTCCAGCTGGTGCAATCTCTTTGGAGAAGATTTCTAAAGCTTCTTTTTGCTTATGATGTACTGCAAGCCAAATAACAGCTTCTCGAGGACCCTGCTTTGAAAAAGCAGATTAGCTTAGCAGCATAACACCAGTTATATCTGTCAAATCAAAAAGCAACTGTAGCTCAGCATTCAAAGCAAATGTAATGGACTCATGCTCATTACTAACTACGATTTTCAGTTAGTGGCTTTCCATCCAACATATCTGTAACTTTCAGTTAACATCATCTTTACCAGTACATCAACCACTGGGTACTTCAGACTGCTACAATGCTGTGCATCAAAACATCCTTCAAAATCAAGTACTGTAACAAATACTAATTTGTAAGGAAACTGCTTCACTTAGTGAGATGGGCAAGCACACTGTACTCCTATTTCTAATGGACTGAGAATGCTCTGGGGCCAAGGCTACTTCCCTTAGCATCACAAAGTAAATAGATCTGCTCACAGAAAAGAAGTCAAACCTAATCCTTGGGAGTTTAAAGAGAGAGCAGAACTAAAAGAATACCAGGTTTCCAACAAAAACAATACACACAATAGTTCATCCCAACTTCTTTTAACTAGCAATTTCTGAAGTGTTTGATAGCTTCCCTAATTATGCATAAAATCATGAATATTTCAAAATAGCATTTCTCTTATTAGTGTAAAACATTCAACAGATTTTAGAAAAAAAGCCTATTTCTTTACCTATAGAGAAATTGGTGACATTTCCACAAGAAGATCCACACTCGAGATCCACTGCTGCCAGAAACAAACACCTATGAACACCTACAGCCTCAAAACACAGGAGATGAGGTGTGGAGCAAAAGCGCATGTTTTTATGTCGGTTGAAAAGAATGGAATGACTCCTGCAGGGAGCTTTTTCTGGACCAGGGAACAGCATTACCCTACACTTGACCAAATTTTTCATGACTTAACCCTGAAAAGACAAGAGAGCCTTTGTGCTGGCAGCATTTTTCTCCTAAGAGATGGGAACAGGAGAGAAGATAATATATGCAGGCAGTTGTTAAATGAGCTGACTTCAAGTTGTGGTCAGACAAAACTCACAACTCAGCTTTCCTGTGGTATGGTTAGATGCTTATTCACTGAAGGAAGTTGAATGGGTGCTCCTGATTTCAAGAACTAGAACTCAATAGTTCTATAATGGAGCAACTGCTAATTTGCACAGCTGTCATAGGGAAAACCACTATGCCATCACGCCTAAAAAAATACATTAATTACAATTCATGTAAATTTAACAAGTATCATACAAAAAAAAAAAAAACTTAGCAAGTTTTAAGACTCAAGTAAGCATTTTAAACTTACAAAAATAAATGCTTTCTTCTTCAAAATAACCAAAGAAAACACGGATCCAAACTCCTAAACTGTCTGTTTCTTAATACATCTCCTAACTTTAGTTAGTTTCATTTAGTTTAGTTTATTTTCATTACCCATGTTTCTGTAAAGTTGCATTCTTTAAAAACATGGCATAAAAGTAAATACAGATGTCTCATAAGTCTAATTTGCAAGCATATACACCATACATTTTCACAAAAATAATAACTGTAGAACATGACAACATTAGAAAAATCTCAAGTCAGGAACTTAAGTAACTTCAAAATGTAAGAACACGGTTGCATTTCCTACTGACAGCTGCTGAAATGGTGCTCAGAAGACATGTAGCATACAGTACTGCTATGCCAGTCATTCTGGCTACTGTAAGATCATCCCAAAGAGGTAGTTATTTTAACAGACTACTAAGTGCTGCACTCCAACTCAAATACATACTAAAATCCCAAAATGAACAAATTCACAGCAAGACAAAAAGCTCCCAGCTCTCCAGCTAAAACACAGTAGTGAAGGGCCTTAGAAGAAAAACGTGGCAATGCTACAAATTGAAACTTTCCTCTTTTTTATTTTTAAAGAGCTCACAAAGCTGTCTGAAGATTCACATAAAAATACTCTCACAGAAAGCATGCTTATGTATTCACATCTGCATCTGCTCCTGCTTCTGCACTGCACTACCTCTTCAATACTGCATTTAAGCCCCAACCTCGTGCCCTGTCCAGATGCACGAGAGCATGCAGTGGTCTATGAAAGCAGAGTCCTGACCTCTGTGTGTTCATCCAATACCAAAACTGAAGTTGCAGACCATTTCAGTCACTTCTATTACCATACGATTAAAAAACATACCAAAAAACAGCAAAACAAATTTATCTTTCAAATTCAGAAATGCGGCATAAAAGGGTTTAGAAGAAAACTATTGCATTTTGGTTAATGAAGCATTATTTCTGTACTGTTAAGAATTTGCTCACACCCATGCTCAGCGCTGCTTTTACAAAACCAACTATTAAGTCAGGTACTGTTAATATATAACTTTCACGTGAAACACATCCAGTATTTCTAAATCATGAACTCATTGATACTGTGACATTGCCATAATCCCTTCTTCCTCAAGAACAGAAAAATCAGAGCAGGAAGTATTAGCAATTAAATACCACAGAGTCACTCAGTGCTGACTCGGGTCCACTGTTTCTGCTGATAAAGCAAGCAATCAGAGTGGCAAAGAATAGCTATGGAAACAGGTGGAGAGACTGGAAAGACAGGAAAAGATTTTCGAATTTCTCAAGGCTATCATCCTCTGCTGGGAATATTCAGTGTTATAAATATCATCTCACTCTAGACTAAATGGATCCAACTCTGAGATACACAGCCAGTGCACAGTTTAAATTCAGGCAGATGAATCTTTGAAGCACAGATTGTTTCCCTTGTGTGATAACATACCACTCAGCACAACATGGCTCTGCTTTTGACCACTGTTATTTGCAATCCAAACAAGCACAACTAATTTTGTGCAGAAAGACATAATCAGAAAGAGAATACATCTACCAAAGGGCATGTGTTTCTCTCATGAGTTTACAGCTTTGTTTTAGATGGCAAAGCAACCCTCACTCTTCTCCCACTCCTCTGAAGCTACTGCGACTGCTTTCCAGATGAGAACTATTTGGGTTAGGTTCCTCTGTCAGAGAACCAGTGTGAAGAAGATAAGGTTGCAAAGCAGCTTCCTGTGTTGCAGCTTTAACCTTCCTATTGCAGGCATGTATGGAAAGCACGTACAGAGACACTGCTGCATTTAATTTTATTGTAAGACCTGGAAGCTGAGGCTAAAATACAGGAAATACTGTAAATATTCAACTTGGTTTGGAAAATGTTTTCAGTATAATGTAAGCAAGGCAAACTGAACAGTAAGAACAGAGAAGCTGTTCTTTTCCAAACCATTATTCACTCTAGTGAGCAACACAGAAAACTTCTCATGTAATGATATCATTAAAAAATGAATTACGATGCCTAATTGAAAGGCACTGGTGCAAAGAGAACACTGAAGTTGAATATCTGGAAAATGTGCTCCTATGCTCCAGTATTTTCCTTCTGCAATCTCAGTAACACATTTAATGTAGCAGGGTTTGTCATCCTGAAAAGACCACATCATAGATGGCTCTGCAGGAAGCAACTCTTGCTGCTGCGCAGAACAAAACTGAAGCTCAAGCACTAAAGCACACACAGCTGCAGACACAACTTGTCTCATTTCTAAGAGCAAATAATTTCTATAATAAAAGTTTCACTATCTCTTTTTTTTTTTCTTTTTTCTTTTTCTTTCCTTACACAGACATATTTTCAGCTTTTCACATGCTGGCATTGCCAAGACCAAACTCACAGAGCTGAGTTTTGACAAGTGTATTGTAAGGTTTTTGTAAGGCTTTCATTGACAGAAAAGAATTAGATCCTACTGTTTTGGAACAATCTAAACTGTCTAAATATTTTAAGCGTATGTAAGTGGGGACAAAATTTACAGTCTTCCTCCCAAGGAAAGATCTTCCATTTCTAGATAAGGAAAGCAATCTGGATATCACAGCTGCAGTGGCTGCAGTCATCATTCACATTCTTACAGATGAATGCAACAAGCCACAAAACATGCTACAGGATTATGTAGTTGAGGACTGTTCCACAGATGGGACCCACAGAGCTTTAGCACAAGCAATAACAACTCTGCCTTTTCTTTTATACTGCTATCTTCTAGACTTGTGCCCTAACGCAATGAAAGTCTACACCGTAAGAACATTTCAGGTATTTCTTCAGATGAACAGATCAGAACAACATTTCTGTAAGATTCCTTATCTTCTGCAAGACCCAACACAAAGACCCTGTCAGTAATTCTGTACACTAAGTACGACACTGAACTCTCTGCAAGATGGCGGGGTGAAATTCCAGGATGACAGTGACTTTCTTTAAAGTTAGGGAACAAGATAATGATATGGAGAGATTAAGAAGAGGAGGTCAGTACAAGTTTAAGAACACTGCACTGCATACTTACACCATCTATACTCCTTCTAGCGTGCGGCCCATATGTATCTTCAGACCCTAAAACTTGTATGTTAACTGCACTGTAATCTTCGTACCCAAGCTGACTGAAAATGAGACGTGTCCTGCAACAAATGATTGTTTTTTTAATTAGTAAACTGTCTCAAAGTAATTGTCTGTAGTATCCCTGTGTGGTCACAGGAATTAGCTCTGCAATGTAAGCTGGTTACTGATAGTTTTTACTACACAAACAAACAGAAATATTGCATCCAAAGTGATACAGGCAAAGTACCTCTGAATTTATCCCTCCGTTTCAGTTTGAGCCTTTTCTTTAATCAAATTCTACGACAGATGATGAGCAAAGCCAGACAGAAGGTCTTTTATATTAAAAAAAAATAACTGCTTGAAAGAGTATTACAGTACGTGCAGCCTTCCTGGTTTTCACATCAGTAATTCAGTTCTTACCTCTGTTTCTCCAGCATGACATTATGACCCAGCAATAAATACAAGCAGCTACCTCACTACACCACAGCCATCAGTGCAGAAAAATATCACTGGAGGACGAACTTTTATTCAAACGTACAGATATTGAGTTCCAACTAATGAACATACAACTCCAATGCCAAGAATTTGACAAAACTTTTAAGAACTCTTTGTCACTACTCACGCCTGTCTATTCCGGCCCCGTGAATTTCCTCACAGTAATTCTGTAAGGTTATTTCGACCAAAAGCACGCTGTTTCAAGAATGCTACGTTTGGCCAATGGTGATTAATAATGGAAATCAACTTTTTTTTTTTTAAATACACCATAAAAACACATGCTGCTTTGAGAGAAACAGCAACTGACATTTCTGGGGGCAGGGTCAACAACTAAGTCGGTATTCCTAAAGGCTCTCATCAAAAGGCAGCCTAACTTTCAAGCATTGAACAAACCAAGAATGATCTTCATCTTTTAATTTTTTAACAGTAGTAAGAAGTCCAAAGACCGAAAACTCACAGTAAAAAATATGAGAGGAAAAATGCTTTAACATAATAAAACTATTAGAAGTAGTCCAAAATTTTAACATGTTGCAGACTGGAAAAATAAGTTACATTCTGAATCAACTAAACTGTTTTTCCTTTCCTTCTTTGTCTGGCAACTTTCTAGCTGCTTGAGAGATTTAATCAGCTGAAACACTGGAATTATGTTACGATGAGAAAAACATTTTCCATCAATTGACTACTGTGAAGACACCAGCAGTATCACCACTGTTGTGAATATTAAACAAGGCACCTGGAACATGACAGGGGCTTAAATATAAAGTGAGATTCTCGTTGATATAAAAAAAAAGAAGATGGTCAGTATATTACCACTGAGGCCATTTCTCTTCCAATGAGCCTGGGAAAAAAAAATAATACTTGATTTACGTGATTTCTAAAAGGTGCCTAGCCCAGAGAGCTTGTTCCACAGGTGTATAATTTGATGGATTGACAGAGAAGTCTTATATAAAACTGAGAGGAAAGCAGTAGCTCACATAACTGGAAAGTTTGGGTGCTATTGGAATAAATGGTCCAAGACTTCTGCAAGTACAATTATATTTAAGAGGAATCCCTCTTACAAATATCCTGGCGTGACAACATGACCAGAGGTCTGTCAGGCTGCTTTCCAACAAGAGAATTGTTCCAGCAAAAATAAATATTAGTCCCAATTTCAAGGTAATAAGGTATTTTGTCTAAAACAATTTTATTAAACTGCCTACATTTCATAGCTTCCAAGTTTTTGATAATAAGTTCTGTGGAAAAGAAATCAAATAAAAATCTGTCTGAAATGGGTCTCTCCTGTTCATTTTGAACAGTACTTTCTAACCTTTTCCTCTCTGTCAAACAGCTTAAAAGTGTAGTTACAGGTTGTGTAGGAAACCTCATTTCAGTTAACTGAAGTCTTGAAACATCCTCCGACTCCTGTCTTCTATGGTTCTTAAAGGTTAATGTGATACCATCATGTCACCGTTCTATTTTCATTATCTCCGAATATCAAATAACCAAAACCCCTTTCGAGCAACAAATACTAACCTTTTGAGAATACTTTCTGCAGTGAGTTTTCCCTTTTGTACAGCCTTCGGACCTCCCACCGGACAGACAGCAGTAGCTCTGAAACCATCAAGGTAAGTGGCACTTACCTAACAAGAAAGGGATTAAAAATCACGCGTGATTCAATAATGATATACTATAAATGCTCTCTAACAGTTACATTTTTTACAATCTCAGTAGTGGAGTGGTAAGAAAGCACGATAATCAGTAAACTTACTCTACTACTTCAGATGTGAAATGGTATCACAAGAAAAGACAAACCTGTAGAACTGTAAAACTCAGAATCACTTCTCACTGTCATCTTAAATTATCTCCTATACCTCTACATATCTCCTGTACCTACACATTTTGGTACATGAGATGCATTCTGGAGCTGAAAAGCTGAGTAATCTATCACAATTTATTATTAAAAAAATCCATTTCAGCCTTTTCTGGCTATATGTGGATTTTCCTGTTACATAAATAATCACGTTTCTATACATCCAGTAATGTTCGTTTGGTCTTTTTCATGTGTGCACTGATGCGTGTCTGTGTAAAGACATTAAAGAGGCAACAATTTCTGGCAGAAAATATTTTTATTTTCTCCAAAATATCTAATTTTATATAGATGTAAGGTACTCCTTACTTAGGAAGAAAGTAATACCTTATAAAACGCTGAAGGAGGGGATCCTTTCGCTCCATGAACTTTCACTGCACCACCTTCAAAACCTGGAGTGGTTAAAAAAAAAAAATCAATACTGAAGCTTCTTCAGAATAACTTCAAAGACATGCTTTATGTTAACCAAATGCATTCTATCAGAAAAACAAATCACTGATAGCTGTACTTCCGCAGAAGAGAGAACCTTCTACAAAACAGTCCTCTCTGCCTTCTGAACTGAAACATGATGGCTATAATTCTAACTTCAACGTGTCTTTTAACAAAATGCTTGAAATGTTTATGTCAACATTATAATTACTTAACACAGAAAGAAACCTTATAAGTTCAGATCCAGTAGTTATTTTCCACTTAACAACCAATTAACCAGCTCACACACACAAAGCACATCATTTACTGCAGCTTGCTGGAGTGGACAGCGGTCCCTCACACTTGGCAAAGAAACAGAACCAGAACTATGTGAAAACTTATTTGCTGATAGCTCAAAAGTGAAGGGATCGTTTAACTTCAGCATTCTTCTTGATCATAGAAACAGAACAATCTGAATATATGCTCTTGTGCAACTCCTTTGTTCAGTATCAGGTATATTAATAACAAGAAGAAATGAGAAAATGCTGCCATGTCATCAGGTTCAAACTTCAAGTTTGAACTGGAATAAGTAGGTGAAGTCCCTCAAAAATCAGCAGTGCAGGATCAGCATCTCATGTCAAACCAAGAGCATTACACAGCAGCTAATCTGTGCTTGCAGATATTTAGGAAACAGTTTCGAGCTTTACAGAAATACTCTGATGTGATCCAAACAAAAAATCCCTTCAGAACACATCTGAAAAACGGAATCAGACTGACCTTAGTTTTATGTATCACGCATAAATATAATCACTCTCTGCAAGGCTGAAATAAGGTTTGTTCAACAGAAGAAACTGTTTTCTTTGTCAACAGAAAACAATATCTCTACGGTCAGTAAAAATCTGGAAGACTTTCATATAGCTGGTTAAGGAGTAACATAAACAAAACAAAATGCATGACATCCATTGACTAAAAGAAAACAGAAGCACCTCTCAGTTCAAACATTGTCACTAATCCAGCAGGACAATAAAATCAGCAATGTAAACAGCAAAACCAGATAGCATGCCCTGCTTTTACTGGTGTACGTGTCAAAGCACTTCAAACTAAAAATATTTAAGAAATCTGTCCATTTTCCATCTGCTATATTTCTAAGAAGACTAACTGAAAGTTCATGTGAAAGTTCATTTTAAGTTCAAACATGTCATATCGGGTCATTTGTAAGCTGAGAGTTCATAGGAAGGTTAGGGTGCTCTTTTTCTTTTTTCTTAAAAAAAAAAAGACAAAACTAGTGACTACGAGCAATAAACTGCTCTTATCAGAGTGCCGTTCAGTTATGCTGCATGAGCACAAGGTTCACTGTACGGTTTTACAGTACTTTTATTATTGAAGCAATGTATTTTTCCCAGGAAGTTCTTAATTTGAAATTTCAGCTGTTGTAAGTCTTACAAAGGCACTCAGCATACTGTCACAGGTCCAGTTCCATTAGAATGAAAATGAATATACGTGTCACAGGTGGAGTAAGACTTTATCACACGCTCTAATCCAATCAGCAAATCTCGCAGTTCAGGGCTTTTTGAGTTTTGTTTTGTTGCTTTGCCTTCAAGTCCAAACTTGAAACAAGTGTTATATGCACCTTTAGCCTGTTGGCTGTTCATGTGACTGTTGTAGGTTTGAGGATGGAAATCTACCTCTCCTAATACATGTCTTCCAGTGGATGTCTTCTACCTAAGCAAGCTTCTACCACTGTGATCCAACTAATTATGCCTAGGGAAAACACTATGATTAAGTGATGCTTAGAACAACACAGCTGCTCATTGTTACATTTCTACTGATTTTTTTTAATTAAATACACCTTTTCGAGCAAATAAACTGAGCTGGAGTTTAAAAAAAAATACAAAATCACAGTGGAGCACAGTTCAAAGTCTTGGCTGGTGTTAGATATGCCTTAAAAGTGAAGCAGTAAGAGCAGTGATCAAAGACTTAGATTACCAGTAAGAACACTAGGAGTATGGTTACAATTCCTAAGCCAATTTCTAACAAAGTTCCTTGGAAAAAATGAACTCAGTCCTTGCAAGGAACTTTGTTTCTACGAAAAAAATCAGTTGGTTACAATATGATGCCTTAAGGAATTGATATGGCAAGGAATACACAGATAAAACATGGAAATTAAAGCAATAGCTTTAGTTGGATCATCTAGCTTACACATCTCTTAACATACAGGCAGACTAACCTGGAATTTCAGTGATGGAAACTTGAGAAAAGTCACAGGTGACATCTGGTAAAAGGTAGCGCTGAGGATTGCCCACTTCATACACCAGCTGTTCAGCCACAGTGCCAAAGGAGATCAGCCCCCCTGTGTCCGGTGGTTTGGAAATAATGAAGTCTCCTTCAGAAGAGCACTCTACAATGGGAAAGCCTATGTTGTGCCTAAAATAATGAAAACATTGAAAGAAACCATGATAAATATGAGGTGAAAAGAGGAACGACGTAGCAGAATTTCATGGTAATTACTAATTAAGTAAACTTGATCAAGATTTAGAATGTAGCTTGGCGCTTCTGCAGAAGCAAAGGAAAAGCACTAAATAAGTTAACCAAAATAAGAGGATGCATTTTATTGCCCATCGAAGAATGACACATGGAACACCAAACACCAACTGCAAGCAGACAGGAGTGGAGAATGACACTGCTAACTACATTACTAATGTAACCACCAAAAGCAGAGCAGAAGCTGGAAGATTTAGATGACTTTCATTAAGGAAGTAAATTCAGCAGAAAAACATGATGGCTAATTCTAGCCCAGCTGGCTACAGCAGCACACCCAGCATCAAGGGTGAACGCAAGGAAATGTATTCTGCAGTCTGAAATTGTAAAAAGGATGCCAAAGCACAAAGGGAGTAGGAAACAGAAATAATCAGAAACACATGGAGGACAATATTTCCTTTTTTCTGATAAGTTTTCACAGAAAAGTTATAATCAGAAGACAGGAACACGTGAAAATAAGATGTCTAGCCCAAAACAATAATAAAAGCAGGAATTAACAGAAATTTACAAGGCGTAACTAAGACAAAAGCAGTAAAATAGAAAACTACATCTCTCTATAGATGAACGTACAGAAAGCAATCAAATAGCTCATAGTAATGAGCTCGTGCTGATTTATATAGTAGCAGAGTAGATTTTTCAAGGTTATGTGGAAGATATCCAGGTATTTGCTTTCCATGTTATAAAGCTTTTCCTTTACAGATCATTTCTCGGAGCAAAAGAAATAACCTAGAATTAAAAAGCTGAAAATTAAAGCAGTCTTTACACTCTCACAGAAGGGCTACCTGGCTCACTTCCCCTCCAAAGAAGTTAGAAATCTGTGGAAATCAATGTTAGAGAGAGAAAAAGAATCCAAATAAAGGAGATAAAGCCCCCTGAAAAAGCAAAACTCTTCTCAAATAAAAAGGTGCTTACTATCACCATTCCCATTACAGTCAGTGATCTTCAGGTCCTTCGTACATAATTAAAATGAAATTAATTATGTTTGGGTGCTGGAGGGAACCATGCGCTGAACGTACAACCAAACTGGCTATTAGCAAAGGTTACAAGAACATAGTTTGCATAACATGCATTCACAAACTTTTAAAGGAAGTAAGCAAAGAAAGCAGTGAACTCTGAAATGACATTAGCAAAAGTTCATGGGAGTTTGGACAGATTCCTTATCTTGGGAAGCTTAAAACATAATCCTTTTTTAAAATAATGGAGTTAAGAGAGAAGATTTGTTACCAGAGATCAGCAACTTTAATACTGCTAGCATACAAAACTTGGAAAGTACAGTAGCTGGAGGACACCTAGAAAAGCCCACCAGGAATCAGCAAGGATTATACTTCATTTGTCTCATCTTTGAAACTATCTAAACCATGAACGAGATAGAGGGTATTAAAAAAGGAAAGAAAAGAAGAAAAAGAGGGAAAAAGAGAAAAAACATAAACTGAACCCTGTGAATACAACAAAGAATATATAAATCTGATTCTAAATGATTACAATATAGGGTTGGGTTTTTTTTGTCTATTTGCTCGGAGGGAAAGAAAGGGATGAAAGTTGGCAGCAGGATGTAACATTCTCCATTTTAAAGTGACAAGAAAATATCCAAGAAACATCCATCAGACAAGAAATATCATCCATCATCCAAGAAATATCCATCAAACCTCTTAAGTCAAGACCAATCATCTTTTATCTATTCTGTAATATCTATTAAAGGTCTGTAACTATCCCAACTTTACAGGTAATGAGACACATGCAGGAAGCAAAGTAACTCACACACAGCCTATGATCACAGACTGAACAAGATGAGAATTAAAGAGCTGTCAACTGCTCAGTGCTATTCTCCTATCCCTTATCTGCCTGCATCAGGTGCCTTGCTAGCAGGTTGAATGCAGCTTATTCAAATCACTTACCCAATGTGAAATTGCTTCTGCTGAGACAGATAATGCAGTCTGCCCTGCTGCACCAGGAGCAGACATCCCTACCTGTAACCTACTTTAAGTCGCCGTCACAGACAGGATGTTCATGCACCCATTGGAATTGCATGTCCCCAGTGAAATTGTTCCGAAGGAAAAAGAGGTAAACTGCAGACACCTTCCCACCACTGCTTCTGAACTACTAACACAGACTGAACTTCAGTTTAACCAAGCCTTACCCTCAGAAGACTTGATTCACTACACAAAACATGACTGCGAAAATCCACGTGTTCTATATTACCTCAGAGATGTCAGTAACAATTCATATTAAAGCATGCCTTCTTAAAATAAAAACCTATTTTTATGCTGCTGCAAGATAATACTTCATTTTAATTTTTATCTTGGAAACAAACAGAGCTAAGCCACCCCTATGACATGATTCAGTCAAGTGACAGCTATTTAATCCTGGAGTTACAGCCACCTAGCAGCAAACACCTGCACGAGGTCTTCTAGTACATACCATATCTACCTTCCACTGGAAGAAGAAATTCCTTCCCCAGCTTACCACTATGCTGAATGACTATGGAGCATATGACACTTGCTCTGTAGCATGCCAGCACAAACCAACACAACCCACAGCCAAGCTGTAATTTAGCACAGTACAGCAAGATCACAAAACTGAACCTGAACGTTGCTAGTAGTCAACAACAGTTACAGTACCCAAAGTGGCAGAGAGTCAGGTGGCACTGCAGTTCTTTCTTCAATAAGAGAACTACAGCAGTTTAGTGACAGAACCATAGAATGGCTGGTGTTGGAAGGGACCTTAAGGACCATTTCATTCCAACCCTCTTCGATAGGCAGGAACACCTTCCACTAGGACAGGTTGCTCACAGCCCCATCCTGCCTGGCCTTGAACATGGCTGGGGAGGGGGCATCCACAGCTTCTCTGGGCAACCTATTCCACTGCCTCATCACCCTTCTCAGGGAAGAATATCTTCCTAATACCTGATGTAAATCTCTACTCTTTTAGTTTAAAGTTGTTATTTCCTTGTCCTGTCATTATACTCCCAATAGAATCCTTCTCCAGCTTTCTTTACTGGAGGAGATAAAATTCCTCAGTGGGATGAGGCAATATAAATGACTCTGAAAAGAAACTCCTGAAATGAACTCTAATTGCTATATCATCTTGTAATTAATACAATACTCAAGATAAATATGAAAGTACTACTCTGGAAACATTTTGAGCAGTTCTTTAATAGTTAAAATGCAGAAGGAATAATAAACATGAGTTTGTGAAAGGAGAGAATAACAAACATCACTTCATCCAAAATGTGTTTTGAGTTGCATTTTTGGTATTTAACATTTAAATTGTATGTATCAGTAAACCACAGAACTGAATAAATCCAAGCTAAGACTAATCCTCAGAATCTCATTCCAATTGGTTAGAGGAGGAGTTACCAGTTAAAGTGGGTCCTCACTGACTACAGTGGTAACAAAGGCCCCAAACTGGTCTTGCTGAAGAAGCCATCTTCTGATTATTGGCAACAGAAGATGGGACAGCATACTGTTGTACATTCACTAGCAGAAGATCACAAGAAAGAAAAAGAACCCACAATATTGCATACGACATGTAGGCAGACCAAAGTCCAGTCTGGTTGTGATATCAACTTTTAGCTTTATAGATAATGCAGTTTCCTGGGCGACACAACAAACATTATGCTGAGGAGAACTCTAAACCACGTGTCCCAACTCCCTGGGCACCTATTTTAGACAGAATGTTATTGGGCAAAAAGTAAGAATTGCTATCACTTCCAGCAATGTTTTTATAACCCATTCAAAACTATTTATCTGTGGCCAGCAAGGTCAGCACATGCTTTTGGATAGGTAACACACATGCATACCTACATGTAGGTATCAACACATATCCAAGCTCTGCTGCAACTCCTGTTGTGCACTGTTGTGTACTGATCATAACACCTACCTCCTCTAACTAGGGAATTTCACAGGATACACAGCATGCATACTCTAAATGCCTTGAGAATTTCAGGCCAAACAAGCTGCCAGGCAGCTTCAGCTGCGTGCAATAGGTGGTGCACACCACATTGAGAGAAAAAGGCACACCACACTGCTTCATCTGGGACTGGAACAGAATCCAGTATGCAAGTGCCCACAGCAATCTGGATCCAGCCCTTAAGAGACTACAACTACTGACTTACCCTTTTGGTCATCCCAGGCCAGAGGATTATGCAGTCTCAACCACTGTACACTCTTGGCTTAGGGCAAAATTTCAGTGTTTATCATCTCCTCAAAATGATTATTTTACTGATCAGCATTAGCTTATTCTCTCCTGCATTTCAAAACAAAACAGAACAGTGTACTAGTCACCCACTGACACTAAATAATAATGAGACAGCAACGTCTGGGGTTAATCAAAGTGAAATACAAAGCTGTGCATTATCAATATACCTCTGACATCACAGTCCATTCTGACACTGCCATGAATTCCCTGAGTGCCATGCCACTAGGGATCAAACAGGGAGCAGTGACGTGTTGCTTGCTTCTTTTCTTCACCTAATATATATATCACTGCACAAATAACAGAAAAGGAGTAGGTGTCTTCTTTGACAGCATTTACTTATAATCAGTAATTTAAGAATGCTGATTAGTCTTCTACAAACTCAATGATTTCTTCAATTTTCTCCGCTAAGCATCAGAGAATCCACACAAGGAACGACTCAAGCAGCTTTTGCCTAACTGGGAACAACAAATAGTTGAGTTTCATAGGCCTAAAGTTTGATTTTCTTTTGTATTTTTTTCCTGTTCAAAACTCAGAAAAGCCAGTAGTCTTTCTTAACAGTGCACTCAGATCTGCCTCAGCAACTGAAGACTGAACAGCAACTTGACTACTGTTCAAAACCAAACCTACCTTCTGCAATGAAATGTGAGGGAACAAGAGAGATTGCCTTCTAGCATTCACTGGAGAACAATGTAAGTATTGTGAAAATATCCTTAAGCTCTAATGTAAAGGTCCAGTAACTGCTCACAGACATGAATGCTAAGCATTCTCAGCCACAAGACCACACTCACAAAGGTGAGAAATTAACGTGCCTTTGACATAACATACTACTGAGAACAGACATTTCGACCTGGCTTCTTCTTCCCACATTTAATGACTTCACTGAGCTGGTTTTGATATAAACTTGCATATCTGATTTATTGAGTTAGATTACACAGATTACTTCAGAAGGCTTAAAAATGTAGCTCTTTTTAAAGTAAGTACAAATCACTAACAGACTATACTCAAGTGAATTCTGCAAGCCCTGAGCCAGCAGGCCTCCAACTTCTATCATTAGTGAAGAAATGAATTTGATTATATAGATTTGCACACACTGAAAACTGATTCAGGATGTCCAAATAATCAGAAGAATTCATACCAAGTTTCCTGAACTTACAGACAGACTACTACTAACTATGCTATCAAATGGAAAATTCATTTACTTATAAACCAAGAGCTTTCATAGCACTTGGGGCACTCTCAAAGTAATGCCTCCTATTTATTCCTACGCAGACTACAACAGATACAAAGAACAGAATAATATTTTCTGATAGAACAAATTCCCAGCTACAAAACACTGTTTTTCAACACAGTCATCACTATCAACCATGCATTCTCAGCAGCAACGAACAAGAGCCTGCGACTGCCATTTCTGATTGAAAAATACTCAAAAATACAGAGCTGCCAAGATTTTTAATAGGAAAATGTATCCTGTGGGTCCCCGCAGGACCAGAGCCAAACAAAAACCATCCTTTTCTCTTGTATCTTTCCCACAGTTCTTTAGCTCTCCATCATGTAAAGGCAGTGTTGACTTCGATGGACAACACATGAGTCAAGACTCCTTCCTTTCATCCCAAGGAAAACAGGAATAAAATGCAACTGGAGAATCACTTACTGCGTGCCAAATATGCCCCACAACTGCTTTTAAGCTACTCTTAAAAACAAGTTCATCAAAAGCAGATTACATGAGCCTTTTCTCATGGCAGTTCTCAGCAGGCAGAAACACCTACCTACAAGAAGGTCTCACCTAGTACATCTGAACACAAGTAATGCATGCAACACTTTTTCAAAGATCAGTAATGTATATGCAGACACCAACAGTTCAAAACTGGGAGACTTGGACATACAGAAAAGGAGGACGGTGGAATACGTAGCAGGAGAGGACTTTGGCATCCCTGACAAAGCAAGCTGTGTAAGCCTGGACAATGCACAACTCTGATCTAACTCAACATCTAAAGTATTCTTATTGTCTTTTCCAGTACACACACACACTCCTCCCATGGCAGGGGGTTGGAAGCAGATGATCTTTCAAACCAAGCAGCTCTATTGGTAGAATGAATTAGAAACTGATTTTTATAACAGATGACGTTATATTCGGCCCCACCTGCAGAAGAAGGGTTGGAACTCGATGATTCTACCAACCCAAGCCATTCTATGATTCTATGATTTGGTCTACTACAAACACACATGCTGTTGTCAGAGTTACTTACCAGTCTGGTACCAAATGCCAGTCAGTGAATATTCCACCAGTACACTGAGCACCACATTCAATAAGATGACCTGCAAGGCTGGGAAAACAGCAAGTGCTCAAACAACAAAATATTCTGTAAAAGGACGCATCACAAATCCAGTCTGAAAATGTAATCATACAATGGAAATAAAGCTAAATATCAGAACATGCTCATTTTTTTTCTTCCTTAGAATTTTGTTTATAAACTGCATTAAACATAAGTAGGAATTCTGAAAGATGACTAAGAAGACTTTAAAAGAGCAATGTTTCACATAAAAAACATTTGGCACATTCCACCAAAAGTCAAGTTCCGTTACTCTTTTCAGAAAGCATTGATCTAAAGTCAGTATTTTAGCTTTTCACTTTGCCTGTAACTGAAAACATGCAAGGCCCATTTTTAATCAAGAGGTGTACAATCTCACACAGCATGAAGGATATCTCTGAACAGAACACACTGCAATTTTCAAATCTTTAACTGTGGTATTTCATAAATGTGTGAGTGAACTACAGGCAAGATCTTGATCTCTCAAAACTGATTACTAACTTCAATCCCCAGTCAGCAGAGCTGGAGTTTCTTTCTGCAATAATTCTCTAGCAATAGGAGGTCTAATGCCACTACTACTAGATGCAATCAGCCTAATTAAGTAGCCACCCATTTTAATGGGCTTCTGTGTAGTACGATGAGCTGCAGAAAAATGAAATTAGATGACAGGATTTCACCTAGTACTTTCCACAACAGATTCATAATCTTAGGATTTACAGCTAGGGTTTGCAAGTGGGGCTATTCATATTCAGCTTCTGCAACACCAGGTAAGCATGCTGACCTATGACCAGGACTCCTTTGGCCTATCTTTGAAGACAATAGTTGCTGTCAACCTCAACTACTCAAACTGATGGACAAACAGAAAAAGCTGGAGTCACTGTTCTGTACCATGAGACGTCACAGGAAGCTAACCTGTTCAATCATTAATTTTCTCCTTTTATTTTACTGAATTGGTTCCAAAACAATAGTTTTTAAATTTCAGTTTCAAACATAATAGGATTAAGTGAGCCTTAAAGAACCATAACCAAAATCTTTATTTTGAATAACTTTCTAATAGTGAGCTCAGTAATAATATCCAAATTCCCAAAATGCTTCAAAAATCATTATCCTGGCATTATACAAACGAAATACAGATTTACCCATTGCTTCTTATATCATTTACCTTCCTGCAGCTAGCAAGTCAAATTCATCCCTATTCCAGCCAAACTAGAAGAGAAATACAAACATATTATTTATATAGAAGTCTTACACAGTACAGGAGACTGACTTGATTAACAATATATTTATCATATTTTTACTTAACTGCAAAAAGAACAATCTAGTTAACTGGCAAGAGCTGTAGGTGGATCTGAGGTGCTAAGCAGTAAATCCCTGGAAGTAGTCTGATGTGTTTCAGTTTTCACTGAAATTTTTTATCACCCCTCAAAAATTTAAATTCTTAAAGTCAAACCCTCTTCAAAAAAGTCTAGCACCTTTTTTTTTTTTACATGTAAGCAAAGCACTGTATTTTTCCAACCTCTGAAAATTATCAGTTCCTAGACTACCAACAAGCAGTATGCCTTCTCTTTAACTAAAGACTTCAACAGAAAGCAAGAGATAAATAAAAAACAATCAGTGTAACAGAAACTTCCCTGATGTATTTTTTTCTTGGACCTTGTTCTCATTTACTAGGAGAGTCTGACTGAAGTGGCGAAGACTGAGGGCAGCCTCGATTGCAGCGACCATGAGATGGTAGAGTTCAGGAACTCACGTGGCAGGAACAGAATACTGAGTAGAATCACAACCCTGGACTTCAGGAAGGTCAACAATTGCTAGGGGAAATCCCATGGGATAGGGTACTTGAAGGTAAAGGGACCCAAGATGGTTAGTTAGCATTCAAGCACCACCTCTTCCAAGCTCAAGATGAGAGCATCCCAACAGGTCAAGAAAGGGAGTCAGGAGACCTGCACGGTTCAACAGGGAACTGCTGGGCAAACTCAAGTGGAAGAGGAGAGTCTACAAACCATGGAAGGAGGGGCTGGTCACATGGGAGGAATACAAGACTGTTGTCAGAGGATGCAGGGAGGAAAGCTAAGGCCTCCTTAGAATTAAAACTTGCATGAAGAGTCAAGGAAAACAGAAAGGACTTCTTCAAATACACTGCAGATAAAACTTAACACCAGAGACAATGTCGGGCTGCTAATGAATGAGGTGGGTGCTCTGGTGACAGAAGATACGCAGCAGGATGAGTTACTGAATGCCTTCTTTGTCTCTGTCTACACTGCTGGAGGCTGTCCTGAGCAGCTCCGTACCCCTGAGGCTCCAGAGGAAGTCATAATCAAGGAGTTTGCCTCAGTTGATGAGGACTGGGTTAAGGACCAATTAAGCAACCTGGACATCCATAAATCCATGGGTTCTGATGGGACGCACCCACAAGTGCTGAAGGAGCTGGCAGAAGTCATTACTAGGCCACTCCATTATCTTTGGTAAGTCATGGGGAATGGGAGAGGTGCCTGAGGACTGGAGGAAAGCAACTGTCACTCCGGTCTTCAAAAGGGCCAAGAAGAACCCAGGTAACTATAGACACGTCAGGCTCACCTCCATCCCTGGCAAGGTGATGGAACAACTTATCCTAGGCACTGTCTCCAGGCATATCAAGGACAAGAGGATCATTAGGGGCCATCAACATGACTTCACCAAGGGCAAGTCATGCTTAACCAACCTGGTAGCCTTTTATGAAGACATAATCAGGGGGATAGATGACAGTAAAGCAGTGGACATGGTCTACCTTGATTTTAATAAGACATCTGACACCATCTCCCCACATCTCCTGCAGTTAAACTAAGGAAATGCGGTCTGACTGGGTAGCGAGGTGGACTACTGTGAACTGGCTGAAGGATGATTCCTGGCTGATCTAATCTAGGAGTTCTTGCTCCAGCAGGGAGATTGGAATAGATAATCTTTGAGGTTCCTTCTAACCCCTGACATTCTGTGATTTTTAAAATATGCATCAAAAGAAAGCCTCTATTTTCCATAGTAAGTGGTCATTAACAAAACCACAGAATAGTCTGTGTTGGAAGAGACCTTTAAGACCACCTAGTTCCAACCCCACTGCTGTAGGCAGGGATACCTCCCACCAGACCAGGTTGCTCACAGCCCCATCCAGCCTGGCCTTGAATGCCTCCAGGGAGGGGGCATCCACAGCCTAACTGGGCAGCCTGTTCCAGTGTCCCTTCACCCTCACAGTAAAGAACTGCTTCCCAATATCTAGTCTAAATCTACCCTCTTCCAGTTTAAAACCCCTTCCCCTTGTTCTGTCGCTACCTGCCCTTATAAAAAGACCCTCCTCAGTTTTCCTGCAGGCCCCTTCAGGTACTGGAAAGCTGCTATAAGGACCCCTTGGAGCCTTCTCTTCTCCAGGCTGAAGAGCCCCAGCTCTCTTAGCCTGTTCCCACAGAGGAGGTTCTCCAGCCCTCTGATCATCTTCATGGCCTTCTCTGGACCCACTCCAATAGCTCCACGTCTTTTTTGTGTTGGGGGCCAGAACTGGACACAGAACTCCAGGTGGGGCCTCATGAAGGCAGAACAGAGTGGTAGAATCAGCTCCCTCGACCTGCTGTATTTACAGCCTATTCAAAGCAGTTCAGAAATCCACATATCCTGCTCGTATTATTTGAGGAAACTTGGTGAATTTGAGATACATTGTTCAACTACTTAAAATAAAACTGCTTACCCACTGAACAAGACCATACACCACCACTGCACAAAACCAGATCTACTACTGCCACCTTGCGGTACTGAAATACATTTCTTCTTTAACCTTACGTTGAATTTTAAAGCTGGAGAAAAATAAAAAGCAACCCAAAACCAAGAGCAAAATGCTGGTGAAACGTGGCAAAGTTCCCTCCACTTCACTGAATTTTTTTCAAATTTCACTGTACTTAAGAACATAAGTATCCCTGTTATAGATTTAGCTGAAGTGAAACGGCAGTAAAAACTTTCATACGTGCATGCCAAAAAAATGAAACAAAAATGAAAGAGCTCATCATTTTTCAATTAAAATTTCCAAAGTAGCAAAAAAACCTTAACGATTTCCAAATAGTCATTCACTTCTGTTCATCATCACCTTGTAAATAGCTTGTACTTACAGAATGAATGAGCGGCCCTAATACAATCCCGCTGTCGACGCATCTACCAGTGATTACAACGTCAGCCCCAAGGTCAAGAGCTCTGCTTACTGGTCTTGCCCTACAGGTAAAAAGCAATATGTATTCTTACTTTTTGACACACCATCACAAACAAAACAAGAATCACTTAATGAGTCTGCATGAAATCAGCTTTGTTCACACAACAACTAAGTGTTGTTAATATTTTTAAAAGCAAGCATCGAACATCCAATCAATTTCATGACAACTGAAAGACTTGTCTTGACATTCATTCAAAATATCCTGAAACACAGTGTATCTTGTTTTACCATGAGTAATAGGAAATACAAAGTGTTTTGAGAGAAAATAATAACTACTCCTATTTCATTTGTAGATGAGTGTATAAAGACCAACAGCAGGGACACCAACACTAAAATTTGACCAGATGACTTCCAGAGGCCCCTTCCAACTTAATCTATTCTGTAATTTGATATTATTCACAAAGACAGGCTGCTGACTTGGTCCTCCAAGCTTAAACCCTTCACGTCAATCTCAATTAAGTATTACTGGAACTTAAAGAATCAGCCAACTTCAAGTAAAGTGTCGTGCAGTTGTTACTTCTGAAGAAACTCAAGCAACAGGTTTTCCAGATTGGTCGAGTAAAAATTTTAGCCCAGTCAGAATTAGCCAGGCTTGAACTTAACTGCTTGGGCTTGCAGAGGTTGGTAAATGTGAGGGTAATGCCATGTCATGGCCTGAACTGAGCACTGGGAAAGGGGTGGCTGGCCCAGGAAGCACAGGTGCAAGTAACTCACCCGTGCTTCCTGCATGACCCTGGGTCCAACCTCTCCATGGGCCATTTGAGGGTTAGCCTCCAACTCACAAACCTCTTCTGGATGAAGGCTGCTTTCCAAAGAGTGCTCTGTAGCCACAGAACCCTATCACCAACTGTCATCAACTTCTTATACGTGATTACTGATATCCTCAGTGATACTTTGTCTCGTATCTCAAATAATTTATTAGAAACAATTTCACTGCTTCCAAGGACAAACAGTGAGAAAGCATGGGTTTAGAACCCCAGAGCCACGTGCTCTGGTCAAAGCTATCTAATGATTCTGCCACTGCTTGTGGATTGAAAAACACAAACCATAATCTGGGTGTCTTTAAAAACTAAGAATGCTCTTCTTTGACAGATTCAATAGACCTACTCCTACTTTTTTTTTTAAGGAAAAAGGTAATGCACAGAAGTTCTTAATGATGTAAGCAAAAATACGTATTTACTGACATTTTAATATTAAAAAATTAAGGATACTGATTAGAGAGACAATAAAATACACAGTGTACAACAACTCATGCACTGGGCACAGTGTCATATAATGGTCATGTGAGAAATGCAAATAGATTTCTATGGGATACTAATAAAGCCATGTAACTACATCTAAAAAGCAGTCAATTAGTAAGCTTGCATCTTACTGAAAAAAAAAACCAAACAAACACATGAATTCAATCCACAGAACATAAATCAGGAGGGACAGAAGAAATATTTCATAATCTATAACAATGATAATGTTTCAGCTGTAGTTCATGTACTGAACCAAGAATCAAACTGTAAACACAACTAAGTTTATGGACTTTAAAAAGTTATTGTAAGTGTCTACAGGACTTCTTGATTTTATCCTGTACACTATGAAGTTGAATTGTGTATATATACCTACATACACATATACAAACCAAAAGAGACATTTATATGATTAAGCATCTAATGCAGATGCTATAGAAGAAAAATGTACATGATGAAACTGCTGATTTAAGAAGCTTGTTCATAGCTTTACATTTCAATGCATCCCAGAGAAGGGGCCCATAAAGAAATACTGTTTCTCTGAAACAAATAAAAAAATAAAGCAACATTAAGACTCACTTGTTTTAGCTTCCATTAGTGAAGCAGAGCCATACACAATGGATTTTTAAACTGCATCTTCCTCATACTAGTCTGCTTTTGTCCTCTCTGCTATGAGTTGCCTTTCCTAAAATTGTGAATCATGAATCACCTGAACTGGAATTAACACCTTCTCAATATTATAAACATTAACCACTGTTTATTAGATTTCATTTACATTACTCATGGTCTGTAATCTTGCAAGGCAAAGATTAACAGAAGGTTAAAAAGAAAATCTAGCAACAACTATAACAGAAAACCCTGAATACAAATGTAAAGAGCAATTTCTTTAAATATTCTCATTTCTGAGGAACAAATATATGCTGTCTTAAGCACAGCCAAACCCCTGCTGTCTTGCCTGGACACATTTCTGCAAAGTGCAATAGAATGGTACAATATAATGGTACAAGCCAGAACAGCAGCCCGTCATAATGATTCATTATTTCAATAGAAGGGCTGTGCATTACTCCAGCAATGGCAATCCTTAACAATTCCACCATGCAGTGACAGAATGCTCCACTTTTGGAATAAACAGTCTTAATAACTGTAATTATGGCAACTTGGTGTTGAATCAAACCTGAGGATTCTCAGAAGATGTAATGCTAAAGTCACAACTGGCAAGGTTCTAAATTAAAAATTTTTTTTACAGCTTAAAAGGAGAAAATATTTTCTAGTTTCTTAAATCTTACAAAGGTGAACCTTAAGTGCCTAGGTGGTTATGTTTGCAAATCAAAACAGGTTCATGTAGTCAATATACTAAAAATTATTTTTCCATTCAAAAAACAACTTGTTAAAGTAACTCACCCAAGATACACGTTCATGCTATGAACACTCTCTGGAAATGGTTTGCCACTCTCCAAATCAATGATGCCAGCTCCTCTTAGGTTCTCTTTCTGTCAGAAGACAGACCACCAAATTTATGAGTATTTTGTAGCATCTACTGTAAAACTTCCATTAGCATCAGACAACAGATTCATTTCACAGCAACTCTAAGAAGTATAATCATTAAAATTAACAACAAATGCAAATCAGCTGAATGACTAAAAGCTCTAGACACTTATTTTTCTTAGTGCTGGAAAATAAAGATTAAGTCAGTTGTTAAAGAATGCTTTTCCTTTCAAAGATGACCGACAACCATGACGTAATATACTCCTTAGGCTTTCAAATCATCTTTAATTCCTGTAAGACCGAGCAAGTCAATCCTTGCCAGCAGAAATGTTCACTGTAACAGCAATGGTGACATGGCCAGAAAACAAGGATAATTCTGCAGCTCCAGGCAGTTAATTTCAGAGCACATTAAGTTCCCAGAGAGGCATATGTGTACTTTGCAAATAAGGAGTTGAACTTAACCTTCTTCACCACACTCTGTGCATTAAAAAAAACAAGAGTGATTGTTTTAAATGCTTTTAAAAGGGAATGCTCCCTCCGTAGAAGCATTTGAGGCCAGGCTGGATGGGCTGTGAACAACCCAGTCTAGAGGGAGGTGTGCCTGCCCATAGCAGAGGGGCTGGAACTATACGATCTTAAAGGTCCCTTCCAACTTAAACCATTCTCTGATTCATGCTATGAATAAAGATAATACAGAAAGATGCAAAAAATTCGGGCTAATTTTTTTCTCAATACGGAATAACTCGCACAGTCCTACTAAGCCTAAAGGCAAAGTGCCATACCTCACTCATTAGGTCATCTCCAGTAATAACAGCTATTTTCAAATCAACGTCTGCCTTCTCTGCCACCTCCTGCAGAGCGGCCGCACAAGCCAGAGGGTTGATCCCACCCGCGTTACTGATGACACGAACACCTTTGCAAAAAGAACAAGCACAGAAGCATTAACAGTCACTTCCATTTCTACAACTCAAAGCAAGCTGAAAGACAAGCAAGACATAACCTCTGCGAGGTATGAGGCATCTAATCACGTGAAATACTAAGTCTTGAGCCCCATTAAGTTCGTAAAACAAAAGATCAGACTATGCCAATGAGGGACTGCTTTCAGAAAAGTTAATTGTTGCAGGTAGGCCTTATGATGTGGATGACCCCACCGCTCCTGGAGGAGTTCAGCAACGTTTAGATGCTGTACGAGGGATGCAGTTTAGTGGGAAATACTGGTGATAGGAGGATGGTTGGACTGGATGACCTCAGAGGTATTTTCCATCCTTGGTGACTCTATGATTCTACAATTATCTTCTTCCCTTCCTGCAAGAAAGGTGAAAGTGACCACCGAGACAGACACTATGAGGAAATGACAGCATCATACCAGTTCCTACAGGTACAACAGGGGACAGCGACCTTTTAAAGCACTCATACTTTCCAAACAATGTCACTTAAGCAGAAACATCTATTTCTCTGAATTCCAGAGTACATTAGCATGGTATTGGGTGCTCAGAGGAAATGCTTTCTCTCTTCCACCCGAACTCAGCAAGCTGTAAAGATGTAGTCATGTAAACAAAAACAACTGCATTAGGAAAAACCAAAGTATTAGAACTGCTTTGGAATGCTGACAAAGATTGTGTTAAACCACGAGATTTACATATTTTAACAAGAGATTTTCAGGCAACTCTCCATTCTCAAACTAAAGCTACAAACAGAATTACCCAGAGGCATGCATACACGTTCACAATCGCAGGCAAGCATTTCACTCGTGCCCTACACATCCCCCCCCCCCCCACCAGATGCGCACTTCTTGTCGCGTCTTTTGAGCTCACGTCCATAGGGCAGCACAGCACCGGTGCGACAAACAGGAACACAGCCTACACAGAGCTCATTTCGCAACCGCGCTTCATGAAGGTGCGAACACGGAGAGGAGCGCACCTTTCCTGTGAATATCTTTTATGTACGGAGCCATGGCAGCGGAGATGAAATCCGGAGCGTAACCCAGCACCTGCAACGGCAAACACGGGGCTCGGAAGGGGCACAGCGGAGCCGTAGCCAAGTCCAAAGCTGGCTGTACGCCGACAGCCGCTACTCACGGGAGAGCGGGCTTTGGCAGCCGCCAGCAGCGACATGGTGATCTCGGAGAGGTAATCGAAGACGAGGAAGTCCAGCTTCCCGCCGTACAGCAGCTGCGGCACTGCAGGGAGGAACTCCGTCAGCCCCGCTCCCCGCCGGGCCGCGTCCCCGCCCGGCCCGGCTCCCCGTGCCCGCCAGCCCCTCCCGCCGCCTACCCGCGGCCGCCGTGTCCCCCCAGAAGCCCGAGGCGCAGCCGATGCGCACCGCGGCGCCCGCCGGAGGCTCGCAGCCGCCGCCGCTCCGCCGGCTCCAGCGCTGCGGGTGGAGGACGGCCCGGAGCAGCCGCGGCCCGCGGAGCCGCAGCAGCGCGGCGAAGCTCATGGTGGCGGCGGCAGCGCGGGGCTGGAGGGCACCGCCCGTCATCCGGCTCGAGCCCCGGCCCGCCGCGAACGGCCAGCAGGTGGCGCCGTCTGCCCGCGAGTCCGGCGGAGGAGCTCGCGCGTTCTTCGCCGTTTGGTTAAAGACGATTTTCCTTCAGTCGAGACAAGGAGCTTCGGAGCACCCTTTCTTTCTGCAGTTCCGCCGCTGAAGCAGGTCCCAGCCGCGACTGTCCTTGCTGCCTGTTGCTGGGCCCTCTCCAGTTTCAACGGCAACATTTTGGTGTGCAGGGACAAGAAGCACAAGGCGCAGATGAACAGGAGACGCACCTACGGTGTCCTCTGCTTTGTTCCGTGCTGCCCTTCTTGCAGTTCCAGCGCAATATTTGGGGGGTTTCATACTGCTGAGCACTGATACAACGTTTGCACAGAGTTCCCGGCCAGCGGCTCCATCAGGAGCAGCAACGATTGACTCTGAGATCGTCGCTTCATGCACGAGATGTTAGGGTTATTTTGATGAAAGCTGAGGCAAGTCATTCCAACGACCCTTTCTGTAGCAGACGTGGGAAGCAATGTCCCGTAATGTTGAGGTTTTGGCTTCTCCGTGGCTTCACAAATAGTAGAAAACAATTGTAGAAATTGTTGCTCTTTGAGGACGTCAGGCGGCGCTGTGTGACTTGGAGTGAAGCTGACAGCAACAAGTCTGTGTGCAACGCGAGCACGGAGGTGCAAGTAAGAACCTCTTGCTGGATGAGGGAAGAAGCTTAATACTAATAAATGCCATCGTTCTAAGGTGTGGCAAGGACCTACATCCACTTGCCCCATTGCTTAATGCGCAGCTTGTGAGGCACATTTTGCTCTCAGAAATTGAGAGAAGGAAAATAACTTGGCTTTAGTTTTTGTGTTGAAGAAAGATAAAAGATCTGATTTTAAAAAAATAAATAAATGTATAACTGTTTTCCTGATCGTAGTTCGAACATTCATTGTTTCATTCGGTGACTCTAAATGCTTGTATCTACTTCTACTGTGTGAGTGCTGTTAGTGGCTCAGATTTAGGCCTGTGCTTCCTTCTCTGTAAACAGATTTGTGCATCAGCATGAGGCACAGCTGATGTGTAAAGGAAATGTGAGCTTAATCCTTCTCCCACCGTCATCCTGAATTACTAGCAAGATGTCAGGGTAGGCAATGCAGACTACATCATTCCTGAGGAAATAAGCTTTTTGCAGGATTTCTCTGGCAGTCAAGTTTCTGCTGCCTGCAAGAAAGTACAAGCAGTGCATTTCACAGGCTACATTTTTATTGTGAAACCTATTACCTTTTTGCTATGTGTCTGTTAATGCCACTGCAAATAAGTTCCTCTCCAAAACAAAGCTATTGGCAGATACCAACAAATTTTTCGGTTTATAAAGGAAGTTCTATTTAATTTATTGAGGTTCTGTCCTCTAAACAAATTACAAAATATTCCGCAAATATTTGAATTTATTACTTATCTTATTCCCACAAATTAGTGGATGCTTTTGTTTAACAAATGGAGTTCACTGCTCTTCCCTTCAAGGTAAAGCATACATTGCAATCTCTCTTTTGCAGATAGTCTAAAAGCCAACCTTTCCTAAGGTATCAGCAGCTGAAAACGGTCTTTGTAAATGAGTAAAGGGACAGAATTTGCAGTGTTGCACCTAATAACCCTTATTTAAGGTACAAGCTGCTCAGGGCCCAATAATGATTTTTAACTGATCCCAGCTCATGGTTTAGGGGCTTTCAGGATGTTTGCTGGATTTTTAGTGTGTTGAAATAAAACATCCTGTGCTCTGGAACTTGGAAATACCCGAAAGCAAGAAAACACAAGCATCGTTCCTGTATCCATGGTGTGCATGCAGCAAATTATCTTCTGCACTCTTTCCAAAGTACTCCAAGTGAAACCATACCATGAATGATGTGGATTTTATATTTTTCCTTGCTCAGCTTGCAGGGAACAGAACTCTTTTCAGCCTCATTTCAGCAGAAGCATAGCCCATGTCTGTGCTGACTTCATAAGTGAAAAGAAATAAGAGCTTCTCCCATGCGGAGCAACTGGCAGCTGATATTTACGGACCCAAACCTCTAGGCATTTCTCTTCAGGAAGGTTGAAAGAGTACCTGATGCACAGAGTGGACTGTTGAATCAGCGAGAAATGTGGCCATTTGCCTTTTGCCTAAGACTCAGATATCGAAAGAGAAAGATGACTTACTGAACCTTCTCCTTTTCTTCATTTTCACTTTGCTATTTGTAAAGCAGGGTGTTTCTTAACATACCAGAAGCATAACATCAGCTGTAGACAGCTTCTTAACTATCTCTGTTTCTCATCCTGATTATCACTTGCTCATCAGTTGACCTAGCAGAGGAGCATATTAGTAGTAGAAGTGGAGCAGTGCATATTTGTGATAGGTTGCAAAGCAAAATGGGCTTTTTCTTTTTCGATACTTACTTTTTCGAGGTTTTTATCATTTATTTTTTGTATTTATTTTGACATTCAAGTTTCCATTAGAACAATAACAAAAATGTACCAAATCACCGTAGTGTTTCTGAAATTTCATGAGCTGAAATCTCACATTAGATTCTTAAGTCATGTATGAGTCATACATTTGGAAAACTTTTATTTTCCGAAGGCAGTCATAACAATAGTCTGCTATTATTGGTTTACAAATACATGTGTATTTGTTCTGTACTTCTGTGATTTACTGTGAGTAATGGGAAGGCTCTGGATACTCTTCCAGTGTCTGTTTGACAAAAATACTGATCAAACACCAGTTGAATTGAACAAGGCACTTTTAAGCAAATACTGATGTGATTTTACCACTCGCTCAAAAAATAAACTGTGAGGAAAAGTTAAACCGAAGTTGAGGACTCTTTATTCTGCCTGTGTGGCATTAATCAATCCTCATTTGTTAGCAAATCAGCAAACAAGCTTACCGGAAAGAAAAAAAAAAGGTGAACAGAAGAACAGCAGAGCTTACACATGTTGGGCAGTCTGAAGGGTGAAATCAGGTCTCTAACACGTTTGTTTTGTAAATGGGTCAGCTTCATGCAGCCTGAATTAAATGAGAAAATGGTACGAAAGGGAGGAGAAGACTACCCTGATGTTTCACGTTAGAACATGTACTGTTTTGGATTTAATGAAAAGTGGGAAAAAGTCGTTTCAAAACCGTGCAATGTGAATTCATGGAAGGAAGGAGAAGGGGGCGATGATATGAAAGGATTCATTATTCAAGGCTACAACACAACTGTGTAATCAGTAAAGCAAACGAAGATGTTGTGAGGTTTAAATATTTACATCTTCTGCTAAGAAGTACAACTGGTTACAACCAAAAATATAACTGGACAACTCTTGTGAGAGCAGCGTAAAGATATTTGGAAACCATTAAGTGTTTGCTTAGGTTGATTCCTTCATTAATGTAGATCCATTTGGTGATAGTTTTATGTAAGACAAGAACCACACTGAAAATTCATAATGATCCTCCTTTTTTTCAGACCCAATTAACCAGCTATCTACAGCAATTAAGCTTTGTTGTTGTTATATAAGATATTGGAAATGTTAGCAAAAATTATTGCATTATACATTGAAATTATTTCATCGCAGCCATTGTCACGTTTTGATCCCAAAATGTTAGGAACTTCTTCTCAAAATTAACTAATATAGCTCTCTGTCAGACTTGACTGTTGTCATCTTTTCTGAATCCTGAAATTCTTATCCAGGGATGCTGGACAAATTTTACCACGTTCCATTATGAAGTATTCCCTTGAAAGAGTTTCAGATCTACGTGGACTATTTTCAGTGACAAAGGAGAGCAGTGTGCTCTTTACTCTGTGTAAGAACAAGGGATACCTGAGTTGGATACCACATGTTCTGTCCCAAACACTATGTACCCATCTGCCCTGGAGGGGACATCTGTGATTTAACCTGACCCAGTTTCTGGCAGAGTACAAGCACAGACTCAGAGCCAGTCACCGTCCCTGGAGACAGCATTTTTGTCTGCAAACGTTCTTTCCCAATTTGTGGTGATTGGAAAGGAAAGCTGTTTGGTCCAGGGATGAAAAGTCTAGCTCCCAGCAGGGCAGCTTTATCCAAGTCATTCACACAGACTTCCTAAATTAGATGGCAGAGAAGATTCCTTGCCTGTGAGGGAGACCACGGGCAGCTTCTCTAGATATTCCACTGCCTGACATGGCCTTATAACTCCCTCTGCCTGAGTTTTGTCATCTGCCAAATAGGAAGAATGATATTGAATGCCTTTGAAAAGTATGTTCTGCCTTATAGAAGGAAGGAACTATACAACCATGAAGTATTCTTAATATTTAACTTTAGGCTATGGATATATGTTTGCATGTAATTAGGTAGTTACCTCTGCTTTTCCCTGTGCAAGTTAAGTAACTACTCTGCCTGCCCCCACCCAAGAGCCACGTGTGCATTTGCTTATGCTCGTGTTACAGCTTCTGCACACCTTGTTTCACCTTTCTGCCTCCTTTAAGACCCGGTTGGAACAAAGATAAAGCAGATAGGTGGAAAGCAAGTTCTGCAAATGGGAGGAGTAAGAGATGCGTGCAAATTCTGGGAATCCACCTCATCCCCTACTCCACCTCTTCCCGTTACCTCAGTGTGCCCGCCCCCATCTCCAGCTGCTCCCTTAAACCTCTGCTGCCCTGCTCTGGGGCCAAATCTGGCAGCCCATAAAGGTGCTGCCTCGACTGCTGGGGAGAACACTTTCAGCTGCTGACACTACAGATGGCACCCAGTGAGATGGGGCCGAAGCTGGGCAGATGGGTGCCTCTGGGGCATCTCCTCTCCCTGCTCTTCTCTACCAGCATGGCGGTAAGTGTTGGTGCAGAGTGTTAGTGTCAGTGCTTAGAATGCTTCTGGAGGAAACTCACTGAAAGTGGTCTTGTTTCTTCTCTTCAGTACATTGCTACCAGAGAAAACTGCTGCATATTAGACGAGCGATTTGTAAGTATCATTTTCTTTTACATTAAGAGTCTAGTCAAAGCCTGCCTACACCACTTACTGACCGCCAT